CATGCAGCACACTCACTTGCCTGAGAACATCATTCATAAACGAGAGATTCAGCTGGGTTCCAGGTGAGTCTCTCGAAAGAACCAAATTAGTTTGCAGATGAGTGTATATTCGCTAATTTCGTGCAATTTGGTTTCAAGTAGAACATAAGGTTGACGGAAACCCGGGGACTGCGCCTACCTGATGAGCCCCAAGAAGGGCGAAACCGGTCGTCGGCTGTCGATGGATTTTCAGCAACGTTATGAGTAGTACATTGACTCTTTCAACTTTGCAGTACGCCTACTTTATACTAATTACTATCCCCTACCACCTGATATTGCTATCATAACCGGCATCTACATCTGTATTTCCTAAAAGACGCTTTGTCCTTTTTTCCTGGAACAAATATGGACACGGATTAATTTGGGCAATTTCGCGTATTAATAGTGCTCACACGGCTAATGAGTTGTTGGATGTACAGCAGATGTAGTGGTAACTTGGAGCTGTGGATTCTTTTTGACACCACATAATCTGACGAAAGCCCCGGGAATAGAAATATTGCCAGGTTGCGAAACCCTTGAGAACAGCAGTCAGAAATCTTTATGTGGGTCCGGATCGCGGACCGCTCAGTCACTTACTCGAGTCTTAACTTATCGTCTACGGGTTGCGGCTAACAGATTGAACTTTTGAACCCACCTCGGTGCCTTCCCTAAAGCTTGGGAGGTCAATGATTTTGGGTGTATGGTTATTACGTCCATTTAGCAAAGCATAGTGTGCTTCGTTCTACCACGGAATTTGCTTCACCCTTCTTTACACACATAACAGAACGAAAACATACGCTTCTCTGTAATATTCGGTGTGTAGCCGGCGTGGAACTCGGACGAAGTGCCGCCAGGTTGTCTAAACCTAGACAGGAGCAGTCAGAACGCTGGGTTTGGGTTCGAACCATGGACCTTGCGGTCAGCAGCTCCGTGCCGTAACCACTGAGCTATTTTGTGTTGTTCTTGTACTGGACTACATCAAGTATGGTTAGAGTATGTTCGAATGTTCGCCTAGTGAATTTAGTATTCTGAGAAACTTCCAGGCTGGTTAACGGGTTTTGATGTAAAGTCACGATAATTTGGCCCACTAAATTTAACCACCCAACGTTGTTTCGACGTTTGCATACTATGGCTTTGGTTCTCTGTACCGTAATGTCACCTAATCGCACAAATATCAAACGATAGAACTCGATCTTCCTTACTAGCACTCGAAAATCCTGTTATGGGCATACTAACTGAGACCTGAATTTCGCATTGTACTACTTTAGTGGTGATTGTTGATCAAGGCGCTCTGCTTGCATTGGGAAAGTGACTGGCGGATAATATTGTCTTGTGAATGGGTCAGCTGGCAAATGCTTTTTCTCAGGATTACAAATTACTCGACATTATTCGATATCCGCCGATATTTAACCGGCGGTTCGGATCAACCTATTCGTTTGTGCTCTGTCTGCTAATGCAGACTCACTTGTTTGATGGAGTTTCTTGAAAATTGTTCATTGACCCTTATCTGTGCACTGGTGAGTGACATAGATGGTGTTGGGCGAGATAAAAGTTCAGTGTGGTCATCCAACACTGGACAAGCCCCATATGCGCAGTATTGTTAACAATTATTGTAAGTTTATGTTTAGATGTATCTTCAGTTTGGACGTGTTTGGTAAAGCTGTTTATGTATTTTCCAAGGTCCTCGAATACACCATCACTTTTTGATCACTATTCAGGACACTATGCGTTCCCATTTCACTCATTTTGTAATGCGCCGTAGTGAAGATTGAACACATACCCAGCCAAACTGCTTTAAATATGAAAGATTTACAATAGCCTTGAAGACGATCTACTCTATTCAGTGAGTAATGTTTTAGTAAATCGTTGAACCTCGGTCTTATCAAGAAAAAATTGAATCGGTGCGACCCTTAGTCAGGGTGCACTTCACATTTTTACTCCTCAAATTCGCCTCGAAAATCAACCCACAAAATTCTCCCCTACCTAATGACCCTCCTCTTGGTGACTCCTCACTGTTGCGATCAAGCTGTTCCACTCCCGATTCTTTTGTGCTATGATTAGATCTCCCTGCGTTTTCTGAAGCTGTGATTTGAGGCAATGCGTTATGATCTTAGAACTACAGGATTGTTATATCTCAGCATGACGTGCGTACCCATTCCGTCGTACTTAGTGAACATGGTTCGTGGAGGACCAGCCAGCGGAATCAACATTGGTTTTGCTATGTCGTAAAAAGGACACTACCAGATGCACCCGCGCCACGCAAACTGACTATCCTTGATAGGGAAGTCATCGTCACCCTATAGACGATTCATCTTTCGAAATGAGTTAATGTATCGCATCCGCCTCACATCATCCGATAATGTGAGCTTTTTAGAAAGAGGTGATACAGGCTTCGGACTGGTCACGGTTGCTTTTCCTCTGGTGAGGTTGTCAGGTATCAGATTCATAAATCAAATGGCCGGATAGTCATACTGGCGAGCACCCATTTACCTCACTGTAGCCAGCGACTTTCTCTTGAGTTAACATGGTATAAATTCGAATTGTGGCTCCCTTAGTTCAACACGTGTTACAATATCGCTTTCTATTGCCTACAGCCTAACCGATTCTTTGTTCTCCATTTATACTGAACTGTACCGCTTCATTTATAGGTGTCGACAGTTGGTCTACGCCCTAACTTCAGCTCTCCTGGATATGAAACTTACTTCACCGGCAGTGGTATGTTGCAACGTTAACCCCTTGTCTTTTTGTCTAACCGCCTTTTTCCGTTCTGTCAATAGGTTTTGAGCTTGCTTCCTTACTCACGTGCAGCTTTTGTCTTGTAGGGTTTGGTTTTTGGATCGGTTGTATATTTTTACACATAATGACCAGCGGTACAGTGTAATAGGCTTCACATAGAACTTGCTGGGTTCACGCCATGATTTCAGCGCTATTACTTGCAGTTTTCAAGAAGGGGTCCTGCTGTATTCTCTCAATCACTATACCTCTGATTACCAAAAGTTGGGACCCATGTTCTGGGGTTCACCATAGAACGAATATGATATTACCAACCTTCCAAAGTTTACCACCGCATTGGACTGTGTGTCTAATTTAACTGAATAGGTCTTCTACACAGCAGCTTCTTCCTTTCACCGCTGATCTCTTCCGACTTGCACAAGTGCCAACCCGTATATCTGCTGGAGATACGGTGGTGCACGTGCTCCCGACCTTCTCCTTATCACAAATCCCTCTCTGTACACTTTCCGCTCTCTTACGGCCTCTCCTCTATCTTTGTCCGCCCCATTCACAATATTTTGAAATCACCCATCGCCAGACGGGGGTGACTCGAATGGCCGTGTCATCTGTATTTTAAGGCGACTTGATTTAATGAGTTTGACATATCCCAGCACTTGACTTGGATCTGACCGTATTTTGTCCGATAACTTTTGTGGACGATTACCAATTACTAGAATTGTGTTCAGCACTCGTGCCCCCGGAATGACAGTATTGTGTCCGAAGGTTCATAACGTTGGTTCCAAACGAATCCGATCGTACTTGGGAGGTGGTCGTAATATTTTTCTCTTCACAGCTGACAGAAACCAGTCATTCATCAAAAGATCGCACCACTTCTAAAACCAGCCTCAATGTGGATATCGCTAGGTTGGAATCAGCGAACTTCAACCCATTTAAAACCAACCTTATCAATCTTTTCCCCGCTTAGTAATCCCTGATAGTTCATATTCACTTGACATTTCTCTTTTACCCATCCCAGACCCATTCCGGGTACGTTTTTCTCGTATACTCTTTCTTCGTCCGTCCTCATCAAAGTACTCAGCCTTAGAGCTCGCAGCTCCCCGAATATCCTTTACCCATGTTCAATTTTTTTTATTTTTGCAACTCTTGGTGAATTGGGTGGAATGGCTACATGAAGGCAATGGCTGGTTTCGGAGAATGAGTGAAGCATTGAAAATGTTGAACTCTGAATAACGCCGGCCATGTTAGTCACGGCAGAGCAGACAAGAGAGGCTATGTCTCATGTGTTATCAGCTAACGATGGTCTGTCGATGAGATGGATGGATATACACTACCGGGGAATATTCTACGTTTCATTGCTTCCCAGGACGACCAGGCAATGGAATTTCATGAAATTTTCTGTATTCGCCGCCTCCTTCGACCTTTCTCTCTCCAAATCACCGGCTAACAGTCATTCGCTATCCTGGGTTTTCTTTTTTCCTCATCTTCGCTTTCCAAGGTTTTGTTCCACGGAGACTTCTTGGCCTTGGGGTTTACGCTTCTCTCTAATTGTCTTGTCTGGTGCAAAAATAAAGTGATGATGAAGTATACACATTCCTTTGGTTAATCACATTCGTAAAGTCATCGATAGGGATAATGGGACGAATCAAGATAATAATACCATACTCTCCCTATTTGAGAAGAGAGTTTTGGAATTGATCTCAGCTGTCGGATTCAAGTCCTTTCTGACGTTTGGAGAAGAACCATGTCCCCGCTGCAGAAATCTCACTGAAAGACCAAATTCCCAGGAACTGAAACATATGTGGAATAGGATATAACATTATCCCTAGCTCTGGAATGACAGGTTTCTTTGCGATCTATTATAAACAGTACTTTTGGGTGCCCTCAGTTGTCCTTACCTTCTAATATCGAACTTCCTTAACTTGCTTTCACTTGTCAGACTGAGAACCTGGTACTGTTGTCAGATTGTCCCAATTTGTTTGTTTCTCCCGATATTGTGTTTTCTCATCTTTCAGGATCTGTTGCGTGCACCAACTCGATTGCGGTTGCTGCAGCAGAGGTTGATTACGCGTCCGGTTCAACTTGAAAAGCACGTGATCAGATATCTACCTACAAAGTCCCCAATGCCACATCTGGATGATTTTCCGCGAATGAAGTGGTTGTACAAAACGGGAAGAAATCACCTTTATTACCAAGGCGGTTTGGTAAGCAGTGTTTGTCCTTTTTGATCGGACATTATCACGCTACGGTCTTAAACTCACAGCTGCTTACCCCTACCTCCTTGGCAAACGAAACTGTGGCAATCATAACCATTGTACAACGGGTATGCGGCTTTTCACAGCTAAGGGTCAGCATTTGTCAAATCGTCGGTACCAGATATGCTTTCTGCTTCGTCCGGTTCCAGAAACGACTGTAGTAGAATACGGTGGTTTATGATTATAGTGATTGTAGTTGGAAAGCCAAACCTGCTACGTTGTTGTAGTGGTCGGGTTTATTGGTCGCGAAGACTCTGAGGGCTATACTGACTGGAATATTTGTTCCTTCGGAGTTAACCTTTTCAAGTAGTCCAACGGTGAGCTGACAGACGAAGAGCAACAAGCATTCATAGTATGAGTAATCATATTATCGGGCGGTCTGGAGGTAGAGTCGTAGTCGTATTCTGCGGCTAGAGTGTGATAGTAGTCAGCTGCAAGTAATCGGCACTTGCCGCTTTACGGAATTAGCGAAGTTGATTTCCTGTGAAAGGACGGATTAGAAAAGGTCAATCCTACATCCGTACGAGTTGATTGGCCGTAGCCGAAATAGATCCAAAAATAAAAATCTCGTTCCGGCTGAAAACGCAACCGCTTTGTGAAGCAGCATGAAGAGCGGGGCATCTATTCTTTACTTTGTGCATTTCCAACTACCCATGGGGACCTTTGTCTTTGGCCTCTAAAAGGTTCCTTCAAAGAAACTCTGCAACTCCTTGTCTTGCTGGTTAGATCAGAACGTTGAAACTCCAAGTAGATAACTAAAAACCTGCATCCTGAACATCTGCCGATGCATGACTGTTCAAAACTCCGATCAGACACGAAGGCACCCTGTTCACTGAGGAGCATCGCTCGACATTTTAGGTTTGAAACCTGAAACAGAAACCTAGACCATAGTGACAGTAGTGGACAGTGGACAGCACTTGCCTCCAATGCACTCAAACGATTAAGTATCGACATATAGACGTTAGTCGTGTCAAGAATGGCAAAAGAGGGAAAACTCTTCAAAGCTCGAGCCCGGTGCACCAATGGCACGGAATGAGCTTGCACTACCCATAAGCTTTATTTCAGTAATCGCCCCTGAGCCAAAATGCAAAATTGTCGAAGTTGATGGATGGAACGGCTCTGCTTTCACACGCGTATTTCTGACGCAAGGAAGAGTGATAACCTGGCCTGCACGATGGCATGATCAGAGTCAAGTTGCATACCCCAGAAGGAACGATAATCTTTAATCTATTCATCGGTAACTGTTAGCCATGTGGTTCGTTTGAGTCCACTGCTCTCTTGTGGTAGGTGGATTCCAAGCGTTTGTGTCGGAAGTTCGTGCTGGCCAGGAACAGACGATGATATGCACACAACTGAAGAAGCCGCTATCCATTATCCGTACGCTCACCATCGACTCCAAGTCGACCGCCTAACTGTGCCTCTTCCGAACTTAGTCATCCAACTTGGGCATTCACATCACCCGTCCTTCTTTCCAACTGAAGTAGTCATAACAGATCTTGATAAAACTCGTCCTTCTCAGTTTCGTAATTGCTGTTGGAGCACATGCTCATACGGCAAATAAACACTGTTTACCATATCAAGTTGCACAAAACGTTCACCATTAACATCATACTTTTCGTTTTGAGGAAACATACCACCATGGCTGGTCTACGATGACCTGAGATGTCCTACCAATCCATTGAAACCTCCTGCTATTATGAATGTATCCCAGCCCTTCGTAGTGGATAAGAGCTCTCGATAGACGTGTCATTCAGTGAATCGGAGCTATAGTTTAGTGGTGCATTAATTGACGTGACAATCCGAAAACATTCAGAATTTCTGTCTGTGCGAGTTTCCACCGAAGTAGAGTTTCAGACACCACAGAGTCGACCGTTTACAGGAATCTATTCGAGCAGTGAAGTTTCGTCTCAGGAATTTAGGGCTATGTTCACACAGGTGCAATCGGCTGCAGGATGATTAGGATCCTCAGCCAAAGCGTTTAACTCAGAAGCCTGACCTTCAGGCAGCAGCTGTTGGTGTGTGACTATATGAGTAACCGAAATTCTAAGGCACAAATCGCCACATTTGTTTCAACCCCAAACCCGGAGGATCAGATGATTGTATTTGTCAGACCTCGATCGGTTGACCAATCCAGTAGGAGACTCAGTGGATGTTGAATGGGAATCTTGTAGTACAGCGCAGTAGGTTACTAAGGTGCACAAAACGATAAGGCTCGTTCTATGTGTTGTTGAATTGGCTGGACTGAGGTCATTAAAAGGTTTTCCAATCTAACTTTAGTCACAGGCCACTATAATGCCTACTCGGTCACTTTCGTTATGTAACTAGTTTTCTGTCTGTTTGTTCACCATACTTTCCTGAAGCGCTCCTGTTCGTTGTTAGCCACCGGATAGTCTTGTCAATTTACTCATTTATAGTTCAGTTTGTGCGACATCTGCACTAACCTTCGTGGTCTTCAAATGATTCTCAACTCTTGCAGTCTGTTAGCGAAGTCTAAGTCCCATTTTTAGAGTACTATTCCTTGATATTTTCTTCTCGCATCATCTAGCCACCCGAAGGTGCGTATGTAAAACTTGGTCCGTTTTTTCATGACCCCAGCCAGCGTGTGCTGATCATGGCGCGACATGTAAGTTGTCTTATTGATTTCCCCTCGTCGTATTTTTTTCTTGCATTTGCCGCGTAAAAAGAATGGCCTATTTGTCGGCAGCGTCCACCGAAAAAACCCCATTTGAACCCAAGCGGAGACGAAAATAAATTCGAAATGCGATTCATTGTGTGAATTGCTTTGCATCCATTTACCCCGTCGCATCTGTGCACACCGATTATCAACTCCCAATAGCCTGAGGTATCGCTCAGTATCTTACAGATTGGTCAGCATAGGAATGAACGCTTATGAAATTTATACCTTCATTTGAGCGATTCACTAGTCCGTTAATCCTGATATTTTTTGGAATACGATGTTCTCTTCAGGTAACTAACTATTTGATCACGCAAACGACAGACAATAGGGCGTTTTCCTCTCATATATGATAAGCAAATCAACAGAGAATGTAAGTGACGATGTGGTCTGGAATTTCCACTTCGATAGTGCTGCAGATGAGCTGAAACCCGGGATCTTGGATGACGAATCGACATGTGCAGCACCTCGGAGAAAAAGTTAAGTAGACGGTGTTGCTTCTGATCCATAGAATACATCTGAACCGGTAAACGAGCACCAGGTACACCAGTTAAGTTCGACTGCAGCCCCCGGGTACAGCTCTTTAGTCACTCGATTGAGTAAAACACAATATCTCGCTAGTTTCGCGCGGCCTAATTGTGACGTCAAATAAATATCCTCACACTTGTAAATATTTATCCATTCCATCTGGCTGTTGATCAGGTGACAGTTGGTCTGTTCGCTGCAACTGATTTGCAAACGTTTCGTCAGCATGCGAGGGGATATCGTGAACCATACACTGACGACGTCCCCTCATATGGTGGCGAAACGTTTGTAAGCCAATTGTCAGGCTCGGGAACCAACTGCCACCTGATCAACATCCAGTTAGAATTCAAGTAGGATATCATAAATGAGGGATTCAATTGAGTCTCTTGTGAAAACCAAATTGATTTGCAAATGAGTTTATCTCTCGAAAACAGTCCAATTTGGGTTCAAGTAGTACCTAAGATTGACGGAAACTCGGGGACTGCGCACACCTGATCAGCCACAAGAAGAGCAAAACCGGTCGTGGGCTATCAAAGAGTTTTCAGCAACCTTGTGAGTAGTTTCTTTTATGAAAACATCCAATCAACTTACCAAAGCACCAGTATTTAGGCATATTACCAAACACTCGTCTTTACGTCAGTGTTCGTTCGTATTCAACTTTAAGATGGCTATTCAATTAGTGCGAGTGGTTGCAGAGTCGGATAACTGTTCTTAGTTCCATACGCTCGTGTAAGATCACCTGAGGAAACGAATCTGTGGTCGGTCGGCTGTCAGTCGCCACAAATTTCATCTCCCAGCTTACCTATCTCCTTTTTACTTTGACTTTTGGTCAAGTTTATTGATGTTAATACTTTATCCCCTGTGGTAAGTTCGATTTCAAAATCCTGTTACGTTTCATGCCGTTTCGCGCTTTCGGTTTGTAATTACCTAGCCTCACCCATTCTGTTTTACAATCGATCCAAGGGGTGCGGATATCGTTTATATGGGCCCAATATTATTACTCCGAATGCTTCTGCTAACGCTGATGTTTGAATTTATTGCTTGTACCACACTAGACCTAACATGATAACAGCATCACCTATACACTTACGAGTGAGTTGGCAATGATACTGTGCTCGAACGTTGTTGGCCCAATTAGTTTTTCGGCTACCGGTTTGTCCACTGAGTTCAATACATTTGTTGCAAACGTCTCTTCGTCCATCAAAAACGGAAGTTTAGTGTGCCCGTATGCCTTTAATCCCAAAACAACGTGTTGCTATTCGGCAAACCACAAAACACACTGAACCTTTCGCCTATTAGTAAAGTGAACAAATATTTAACTGGTGACGAGGGGTATCTAGGCGCCCAGTCTGAGCTCTAAAGAAAGGCAATTCAATTCAAAGTACGCCTGTGATTTTTCTACAGTCGGTTCAATTGTCTAATATATATTTGTGATTAAAGTGTTGAGGTGGCCTGCTTTAAAGAGATTTTTGGGCTTGTCTGTTTAGCATAGAGGTCAGTGTGGTTTAACCGATTGGTCTGGGGACGGGGGACCGTAAGTTCATCAAGTGAAACCAGGTACGGCCTAATGTACCGATCAGTTTGGTCTTTGCCGAATGATAAGGTGAACCTCACAGTAAGGAAGCGTTTAACGTTCGCTCACAAGACAGATATTGTGGAAAAGCTGGCAAACCCGAAGTCACTCAGAATTCTGTTTCCCATATCGTTTGTCGCATACCCATTCTGAATGTCATTTCTCGCAAAGAACTGCCTCAATGGCACATTAAAAATGGCTCAATATTAAGCGAATTGCATATCAAAAATAACAACGATCATGGTGAGATCCGTTTCACTGTGCTGTGTAAAAAATCAATGCGGCCTGCTACAAATATGGGCATTACAACATCCAAACGATGGTTCTAATATTGGAAGGAAAGGCATGAATGTCTACAAGCTCAATGTGTTGACTATTGTTGTCGATGTTTAAATCATTTCTCATATATGTTAAAAGCGGTGGGATTGTCAGCTACGAATTCTTGATAAATTTTGCAAAACTGCCGTCACTGCATTAGTCAGCTATGATATCAATGTCCATAAAAGTACACCATATGAGAGAGGGCATAGGTAAACTACTAGGAAAAGCATGCTTAAAGATCGAACAATTCAACTCTGTGGAAGTGTGGAGGGTTGATAGTCAGAGATGTTCTACTAACCAAGAAGCAATTACCAAGCTAGTTCGGTGGCGTTAATTCAACACATCTATTCTGTACCCACGAGTGTTCCCAAAAATGCCCGGAAGACAACTTTTCTGCCCTAGGATTGGTTGATCCGTGGGGGCGGGATTGCTCAGAGATTGGAGTGTGAATTTACTGACCGGAAGGTCCGTGGTTCGAACCCGACCGCTGCATTTCGACTTCCGTTGTCCATGATTGCACAGCCTGTCAGTATCCCAGTCCTCGTGCTTCCTTCGAGGGACATGGAAGCTTCGTCCATGTGTAACGATACATGTTTTCAGGAAAGTGGGGTTGATGTCGCATAGCTCGCGTCGGAACGGCGATCAGAATTTGGATGAATTGAAATTTTACTTCAAGAGGAGATACAGACCGACCTTATCCTCAATCAAGTGAACCCGAATAGGATAACCTAATCCTTGCTAATATGCTTCGGGTTCTATAGAAATAATATCGCAGCTTCACACAAATAAACGGACGTCTCTCTTGACGTAGAGGGAAATGATACTGAGAGCAGCATGGACCCAACTCCCGTGATTCATCAGAAACACAGCCTTTTGTAAGCCGTTATAAGGTAATGTCCCAATGTGCCCTGTCCTGAAATCTTCGGTCAGCCAAACACTCGAGCGTGCAATCGTTGACTGAAATTCGGAAGCCAATTGGTAATAAATCATACCAATATAACAGCAGAGATACTCTTCAGTTTTTAAATAAAATCAAGGATTAACCATCTAACAACTCAACCATGTTTCACTCAATGTGACGTCCCTATTCAGTGTTCACAGTGTCTCGCTAGTGTACACAGCTGGTTGCCTATGTGAGTGTAAAGTATCGCAGCACTGATAAAGTGATTAGAACAAATAGAAGCCAATTGTAATAAATCATACCAATATAACAGCAGAGATACTCTTCAGTTTTTAAATAAAATCAAGGATTAACCATCTAACAACTCAACCATGTTTCACTCAATGTGACGTCCCTATTCAGTGTTCACAGTGTCTCGCTAGTGTACACAGCTGGTTGCCTATGTGAGTGTAAAGTATCGCAGCACTGATAAAGTGATTAGAACAAATAATGGACAAAATGAGATTACGGTTTATGGCAACGAGAAAACTCACCAACGAATGTCCAACAAGTAGAACTGATTCAGGAGGATTCACCTTACCGCGGTACGGTGAACCCTAAAAGGCACAATCCAGATGAGGCACGGATGAAGAACGAACGATCACAGTGAATACTTACTGGACTGATTCTCCACTGCATCTCCACTCAGCGTGGTGACATCCTGAATAGAGGGGAGAATAATAACGAAATATGACTCACACTGTAAGATTCGCCTAATTACAGCACATCTAAACACGTAGGAGTTCGAGTGAAATGAAGACAAACTGAGCAAGTATTTACACAAGTCAGGTAATTCACGCCTTCGTCTTCTGCGAGAACAACTACTTAGAGTGCTTGACATAGATTGATTAATATCCTGGAAACTCAGGATGCCCTTCTTGTATCCTTACGTGCTTCACCAATGAGTCGGCTTATTTTTCTTACCCCGTCTCTCGATAGTACAACAAACACAACTTACCTAAACATGATTTCATTTTGGTGGCAATAAATCGAAGTGCTTTGTGGGTGATCAAGACGCCTCTCGCACATTGGATTAATTTTCCTTGCATTTCGGAAGTGAGGTATTGTTACATATGAAGATGCGAAGCTGGCGACACGATGTGTGTGATGCATTCGGTTGCGGTCGATCTACCAAAGTTCGTAACACCTTACTACTGGCAAAAGAAGGACAGAAAACAAGTTAAGAATGTTTGGCAGAAGGCTGCTGTCACATTGCAGACATACACACTAACCGGTTGTAGTACCGGCTTCTATGTTCATCGGTTCCTGCGCACGACGTTGGAGTCAAACGGTAATTGTAGTCCTCATTGAACAGTTAGGTACACTCGCGAGTGTAAATGCGTGGAACACACACACAATCCAAAGAGGAGCCGCTATATGCTACTAATATGAGTCGTTGGTTTCATCGAGTAGCGCCCGAAGCTAAGAGTGAAGAGTAGAGAGCGAGACGCAGTAAATGCAGCGGAGCGTCTCCCAAAATAGTCCCCTGGGCCCCGTCAGGCCGTGCGTTGTTATTTCGGAAGTAATCGAATGAAACTTACTGCGCGAAGTTATTAATAATTCGCTGGATTTTATGCGACAACCTCACGAAGTCGTAGGTGCATGGTTGACTGGCATCAGTTTCCGAATTGGCTGCTCACTTCGACTGAAGGGGATAAATCTTGCCGTGTTTTGAAGGTTTCTGTGGCTCTATGGACCACTGAAACGTGTTCTGCGATGCACTTTTACCTGGGTTTCGGAGAACCTCCACTGTCCGCTTCGCCATCACGAGATATCAAAGGGATGAATGGTCAGCATCCCCGCAGGACACTTGGGGAACTTTTGGAAAGCTCTCAATACATTCCCACAGTTTTGTGAGTACTGAGACTGCGAGATGTTCAATTTGGTCCGTGCAATCCATTCTCGGCCGGATTCCTGTCAGTCTTCACGTTCTGTTGTGAGATGGTTGCCTGGCTATTATTTGACTGGATGCAAAACTCTGCGAGTACCTTTTTAAAAATCGTAACCGTCGATTCGCTTCACTTTGTTGGGACGGTCTTTTCCCTTAGGTAGAAGCAAATCACTCAAGCGATTATGGATTTCACTCTCCTCTTCAAACAGGGAGCGTGGGAAGTCGTTCGCGAGATGAACTGAGCGGTACTTGGTTGAAGAAATCCACTCAATTTTTTGCTGTTGTTATTTACGCTGTACTTCAAGCAGAACACCCAGTTTCTTACAAGTTTGCGTTCAGTCTATCTATATTAGAAGACTGTTTCGCTGTAAAGGACTGTAAGAGATAGTTCTGATAAATTTGCTTCAGCTTATGGTGTGAGAGATTTCAATCTGAAGGCGAGATGTGCCAACGGGACGCGCCAAGAAGAGAAGCAACGGGGAAGCGTTCGATCTGAATCCACCTACGTGATTTAAAACCAGTGATAGCCAGTAATTGGCCCACCCACCTATAGCTAATAGCTTTTCCGTGTTTGAAGGTGGCTTGCATTTGAGGGGTAGTATGTAATCAGGGGGTTTCCGTTTCGGAATTCAGTGCTGCGCAGGAATAGTCTGCCTTTAACTACAGCTGGCGAGAAAACGAGTAAGATCTTTTGCTCAAAATCGTGTGTGGGCCGACATAAGACCGTTAGGTTAGTCTAGAAATTTGAGCATATTGGTTCACCAGTACAGCGCAATGTATTGCGGGGGTACACAGACCATGGTACCATCGTCTGCACATTATGGGTTGCAAATCGCTATTAGAACAGCCTCAGAAAGTCGATCCTCCGAGTATAGTGATTTCTTGTTTGGGCCAAAGATTCACTCTTCAGTTGCGCACACGAGGTTATGCTACCTCTCTTACTCTAGTCCCTAAGCCCATGACTGGTGTCACTGACCAATTATATATAGCCCCCTGTTTTTTGCTTGTTATAAGTTAAACCTGTCTAATTCTCACCTCATGTTTTTTATTTTTATCTGTCGAGTTTGCAACAGGTATACTGCATATCGTTCTTACCATGAAAATCTTGTGTTTCAGATGCAGTCACCATCGACCTTTCTCTGCCGGTCTTCAACTGATGCAGCAGTGGATGAAACCCCATGGTTAGTTCATGGAATTATTATCATCGATGTCCTTGTGAAACTACCAAAGTGCTAGGTGACCTGGTTCACCTGGTTCTCGGTAACAGCCACTTTCTCTTATCTACAACTGTTAGCGGTCGTAACATGCGCCATTATCTTGTGGTAGCTCACTCAAGATTCGTTGGTATTTAAACGTATCAACCAATGGACACTGGGAGTCTCAGTAGACCGAAATGCTCCATGGTAAAGGCGGTCCACTGAACTACACACTACACTGGTGCTCTGGAGATCTGAACAGTCACCCAAATGCACCAGTATAACATTAGACACACCAAACCATCAAGGTGAAAGACCCGATTGAAACTTTGTCGAAGCCTTGCCATCTATTCCTAATGACTTTTCTTCGTGGGGTTTCACGTGACCGTTATTGGGACAAGAGTAGCTCCCTTTGATGTTTCTAATTCATCTGTGTACTTAATTAATATCAACAGAATATTCAGATGAGCCCCGAGTCAAGCTTCCCTATTTTTCCAACCGACTCTGCAGCATTTCGAGATTCAGCTGGGCCCTTCTCACCGATGTCCGCTTATTTTCCTTTCAGTGTTATTCGTAAGTTTTATGTATACTCACAGGGAGGAGTAGACTAATCCCTCGGGTTGTGCGGATTTGTTTCCTCAAAGAGGATTGAAGTGATAAAAAAACTCTATTTCACCGTACTCTCTCCTTTGAATTCTTGGTTTTATATGCAGGTGGAGGATTTCGGTTGTGAAAGAATATCAATAAATATCTTTAATGTTCTTTTTCATCCCCCTGTTTCTGAACTTTACATTGGTACCAGTGGCTAGTCTTTTCGTTCAAGTAATGTAGATGATTACATTGTCACTATCCACTCTATATAGCTTTTCTCTGAAAGAAGCGACCGATTTGTCTGTCCCGGCACAGGCGGGTCACGGGGACCCCATCCTGGGAGGCGTGCAACACCCAAACTCTTTGTGATCTCTTTCACGCCTTTCTTCCAAGTCATTAGCTGTCCGCCTTTCACTGCAAGTACTCTCTCTGAAAATGGGCACTACTGTCGATTCACCGCAGCTGTTTGGGACGGTCTCCTACCAGATAGACCCAAACAGGTTAGACAGGCACTGGCTGAGGAGTCCACCGCCATCCTGGAAAAGAGCAGGTGGAAGTTCGTCAGGACCAGCACGATGGCGCTTGAGTAGAGAAATATATATAGACACTTTTGAAACTGAAGGTAGCTCCATATTTACGGCCCACCTTCATGTTGAAGGCCAGGATTCTGGATTGGATTTAGCAGGTGGCCAGCTGAATAGCTGTTCGAAGTACTGTGCCCACCGGTCCAAACGTTCTGCTCTGCTGTATATCAGGAAGCCATTTTGGTTTCTGATTATTTCACTGACAAGAGGTTTTCGGTGACCAGTCGAGCGAATCAAGTGGAACAGCTTGCGCAAGTTCTCAGCATTCTTTGCCTCTTGCATTTCTTCGGCCTTTCGGGTCCACCAGTTTCTCGGTCTGCGCGGACACTCAGTTTCACCTGGCATCGGATGATGTGCCGAGTGAACTTGTGGTGGTGACCAGGTAGGATCTGTCTCCGGGTCTCCAGCAAAGACACAGTCCTATCTGAACTCCAATGCTTTGATGAGATTTGCTGGGTTGTATCGCAAACAGACGTTCCGACTTTGAATAGCTCTTTGAGTATTTTTCCCAGAGGCCGTTTATATCCGATACAATACCTTCCAGCAGGTATTGAGGAGCCGGCTCGGACAGTTTCGTTTGACTTCTGGGTCCACTAGCTTCTCAATGGCTAGGCGAAGTTTGCGTGCATTTGAAAAGCTGCAGCTTACAAGTGCATGGTGGGAGTCCACGCTGGTGTTTCAAACGCAGCGGCAAGCGGTGATCAACCCTCGCCACCGATAACTGACGGCGATGTGGTCTATTTGGATTCTGCGCTGGTTTGTTGGTGGGCACCAAGTTGTCAAGCTATTTCCGCTGTTCCGGAAATTCGTACTGCAAAGGAACAGCCTGTGATCGGCACATCTGAAGTAACCGGTCTCCGTTGTCCGTGTGTCTCGTACGACCACCCAATCGGGCCTCAGCAGCGCTTAGTCAACCTACCTAGACGTTCATATCACCAGCAACCACAACGATATCTGAGCTTTTAGCCTGCTGTAGAAGGGCACCTAGGAAAGGGCGTCATAGAAACTGTCCTTGGCAGATTCAGAGCTACAGTCAGTTGGGGCGTAAGCAGACACAATAAACAAAGTTCAATGAACCACACTTCCTCTAGATTTTCTCAGATGTTGCCAAACGAACCGCACAGAGGCGACTATCAACGGGTATCCAATCAAGCAGAGCCGCTTCCGCTCGTTCGGTCAATACAATACCCACCCCAGCATATCCAGCTGCAGCGGCCTCTGCATCACCAGAGGTGCGCAGCCGGAACCTGGAAGAGAGCTAGGGGGCAGTCAGTTTGGTCACAGTACTTGCTCCCTGCATTCTTGTCCCTGGCAGACAACATACATCGATGCAGAGGGGATCCAGCGTACGAGCAAGAGCCACTTGTTGCCCTGCTTGCTTCACTGTGTGACCAGTGAAGGCGCCCAGTTAGACAGGCTTTCGGGGTTTGAAAACAGACTTCGAATTCTCAAGGGATGTGACTGAACTCGGACGTACAGAAGCTGCAGCTGAGTATGATGCAGGGCGAGCGAAACGGTCAATCCTAGAGCTGGGACCTGCGGATAAAGTATTCACATTTGGGCGGGGGAGGGTAAAAGACGGAAAACATGAAGCTGCAAGAAGGGAGGCGTCAGCAGTAGCATGTTTTCGCTCACCCACCCAAGTAAGGCGACCCGGCTGATGGCACCACGAGACGGCCAATGTAGTATGAGAGTATTGTTATCTGTAAATGTCATGGTGGTAGTGCGTATTAAACACAGTGCTTTGTTAACTGTTAACTCTTGTTATGAATTATATTCTACTCTATCTGGACTAGGTGGGTGGAAGTTCACTTTTAACTGACGTGTCTTGTAAATGTGGTCATCCACCACATCCTGTGCTACTACAGCTTACCCTCCTTACGAAGTACTACGACTGAGCGATGAAGCATTCCTGACTTCCAAGTGGGAATAGCTGGTCTACAAGAACCTACAAACAGGAGGCCTACGAATTCTTTTTCAGTAGAGAACAATTGTTTCGAATATTATTTGATCATTTACTACGCACAGATTTCAATCACTTCTTGTAGATCACCTCGAACAATACCTGGCGATTCAATGTCGTCACGAAGAGACTGAACCTTACCGTGGTTTTGACGATTTGTGTACCGATTGAGCTAGACTGGGGGTGTCCGTGTGACATTCGCATTCTCTCATACCAGGTCAGTCAATGGCTAGAGGTTTGACCAACATATTTACACATCCTTTCAGGTCGGGTTTTGGATCATGTGGTGACTTTCTCTGTACTTTCTCTGACTTCCTCTGAACTTGCATTTCCCACCAAACATCGCTGTCTTGCGACCAGGCTTTCGGTTGAGAACTCTAATCGTTCTGCTGTTCAGGTGTGGGCCAGCCCACATGGAACCATGAATTCCTCGCAGAAAAGTAATCCCATGCCACATCGAGCGCTGCGTGGTGCCATCAGCCGGGTCGATCTACTTGCTGCGTGCTGTAGGGCGGGTAAGCGAAAACAGGCTACTTTCGAACCCCATCTTCTTCCTCTTTCACATACTTTTTATTCTCTCTCCCCACCGCACTGACAACTCTCTTTGTAGGTCCAGCACTTAGGACTGATGATTACGTTTGTCCTGCAACAGTTTTGCACGCAACATCTGAGCATCCTTCGGCGCTGCCATCCTCAAGGCATCTCGAAATCAATCCACAAGCCTTAACGCTTAGCCTGTTTGACTGTTTTCAATGTTCGCGCTCTGAAGCAAGCAAAACAACAAGCTGTTCTTGCCTTCACACTGGACTCGCTTGACATTGTGCTGTTTATCAGGAATAAGGTTTCCAAGATGCAAGCGCAGTGGTTGAGTTAACTATGCCATCGCTTTCCACTCGCTTCCGGCTAAGCTCCGGTGATTTGGAGGCCGCCTCGGCAGAATGTGAAAGGGCTACTATCTTCCCCAAATCCCCGTTCAGAAGGATCTTTGCTTTACTGGATACTCGTTAATATTTGCTTCTGTGCGGTTCGTTTGGCAACGTCTGTGAAGAACTTTTGCAAGCGGGAATTTGAAAACTATCTGTTCGTCGTGTCTGTTCACGCCCCAGCCGATTGTAACTTTGACACTATCAACGACAGGTTTTATGATGCCTTGAATGCCCTGTTGAGCTGACCTAAATGTTCAGATGTCGTTGTGGCTCCGGCACCAACCGACAGGCTTAGCGCATCTGAGACTCAGTTAGCTGGTCGACATGCATCGGACTCGTTACATCCGGAAAGTCGTGAACGATTGCTTCAGTTGTGTGCTGACTGCAAGCTGTTTTCATGCAACATTAACTTCCGAAGTAGCCGAAGTCGTCTGGCCACATGATGTCCTCCTTCGGCTTGGAACTCAAATTGATCACATCTTTATCAATTGGCGGTGGCGCGGATCAATAATTGGGAACGAGATGAACCAAATGGTTAGAGCGCGAGTTTACTGACCGGAAGTTCCGTGGTTCAAACCCGACTTCTGCCCCTCGACTTCCCCTGTCCAGGCTTGGGCAATCTGGCAGTATCCCAGCCCTCGTGTCTCTATGTGGCATGGCAGCTACGCGCCGAAAGGGTGCTACAGCTGAATGAACGGATCAATAACTGCCGCTCGTTCTGGAACACATTCGTTGATTCTGATCACGCGCTCGCCCGCAGTTGCTCCTCTCTTCGTTTTCCAGGGCAGTGTAGGCTGCGGACAGATAGCTTAGAAATTGAGAGACCGACAGATGTGAATGTTAGGTGAATTTATCGCAGTCGTTTTCTTGAGTCTTTTTCAACGGCCATACAATCTGTTGTGATTTCATACTGGAATAAGATCACCAACTCTTTGCACAGTGCTGAGACTTTTGCCTTTGGCACGGTGCTACAATGCCCGCTCAAGCACTACATATCAGACCAAACAGTGTTACTGCTTGAATCTCGAAAAAATGTTCCCTTCGATCTTGAACATGATTCAACCCGACGAATTATCATAATTCAAATGAAATTGGGCGTGCGAGCCAACCATGAAATCTGGTGGACAGGGAAAGCCAAGGAAATGGAAGAGGCCCAAAAAGCCGGGAATTCCCGAAAACCATTTCAAAAACTCGGTTAACCGGTCTGTTTTTGACACGCTTTCCCATCAAGGAACGTTTCGCAAGTTTGTGGGCATGATGAGTTCTTTGTATTTTCAGTTTTACGGAGTATACGGAGAGCTCTCCAAAAGCTTTCGTGCACGAAGCGGTATCCGTCATGGGTGTCCACTCTCTCCATTCCTGTTTATTTTCGTGATCGGTGAGATATTGAGACGAGCGCTGGAAGTTCTTTAAACCCCGGTGTTCAAATAGTATGTGATGATAACCTTGTCGATCTGGAATGTGCAGATGATATCTTTCTCGTCTTCAAAGAGCAGGCAAAGGCGCAGGTGTTTTTGGATGAACTTACCAAAATCATCCTGTCCTTTGGTATGCACTTTCCACCCACAAAGTGTAAGATCGTGCTCGTGGGCATGCGAATGCTGAAAATACCACTCACAATTCAGGGGGAGGCACTCGGAGAACCTGCAACGAGGCAATTAGAGTGCGAGTTGTCGGTTGTGCAACGGGGTATCCCATTGAGGAATCTGTCCAGCATCAAAAGCTGCGTTGGTTAGGCCATGTATTGCGCGTGCCGAACCATCGTTTGAGGAAAAAAATATGTTCTGCGTGCGTAATTGGAAACGGTGGTCAACCTTTGGCCTAACAGAAACTTGTGAAAAGTGGCTGCTGTCGGTGCAACTCGCCGTCAAGGTTACTGACCGCCTGATCCCCATTGCTTTAATCGATGTCAGTTTCTATCCAGTTTGTCCAAATGAGTATCTGGCTGCGTATGCACCTCGGAATGATTGTGGTAGGCACCAAGTCCCTTACCTGTCCACTTTTACTGTTTTCTTCACAATGAGGGTTTCAAATAAATCGTGGGTGCATGGCGGCAAAGCGAAGACCGATGTTATGGTGGCAATGATGTTGATGCACGGGGATCATCATGCTGTCGATGACAGCATGACATCAGTGCTCAACACCAATCCTTCACTGCCGAGATAGCAACGACGTTTTAACTGTTCGCTAAGAGGGGATGCTTAGTACTGACAAATTTACCTTCGGACGATAATGAAGGTACTTCGTGCTAAGAAGCGCTATACTTCTTAGATATGCTTTCTGGCCGGCCGGGAAACAAATATATCAGCCAACAGTCAGGATAATCGCCACCCGAAGACATTCGATCGCCGGCCCATGAACGTGACGGTAGAACATGGGGTTGCATTGGCTAATGAAGCCAATTGAAAACGGTCGCAAATGGCCGATGGCTTGGCGCACTGGTATAAAAATATTAAATGTTGGCTTACTAAAATCGATCGAACGTGTTTTTGACTGTAAACTGAGCATACTTAGCCAAACGAACACTATGTCTGCGTGTTTTAAGTACATACCTGACGGGCGCATTCTTCAAGCCACCCTACAGTATGGGCAGATACAGGACACTCGGACATGTTTTCAATCAGCTTTTCGTTAGCATGAGCTTCAAACATATTTGTATATTGCAACCATCAATGATACGTCGTGTATGTTCCTCAGGCGAAACTGCCCTTATTAATGCCACAGGCATTTTTAATCGGAACGAGTCCGAACTTTGATAAACTCGTGTGCTGTAGAACAGTTAATAGTTCGCCAGGTCGGTTGGATGTGCCGAGGCGTTACCTTGCTGGAATGTGCCAAACCATGTTTAAATACTGGGGATTAAAAAGGTGGTGCCTTTGCTAAGGTACTGTTTATTATCCGTTTGGTGATGACTTATTTACAGGCGAACATTTCCGCTCAAGCCATTATGCAGCCATCAAAGCGGCTCCATTCACTGAATACCTGTATCAATTATCAAAAGAACCCGCAGTTTGAATCCCGCTGGGTGTATCGGTCCAGTACTTATACACATATTTTTAAGCCTAGTGCTTGTTTTAACTCAGTGATGTGTTGCACGTATGTTCTATTGTACACACTGCTGCTTTGGATCAGATCCGGAAGAACTGGTAAAGTAAATAAAAAAGATTGTTCTCGGCTGATTTACCCCTGCTTGCGATATTTGACACCCTTCTCCGTTTCGATCGGTGCTTCCATCTCCGTTTTACGATTCAGCAAGCACATGTACGCGGTAGCATCAGATTCTTCTTATGTGACTCGGATGCCCGCCTTCAGTTCGCGCTACCCCTATACAACGGCTCTGCTAAGTCTTCCAGAAGTACAATTACCTGATGGACAACTCGATGACCCCATCACATACGGCTACCCCACTTTAGAAGTTTATGTCGTCTTGACATTTCCATCGTACTTTCCGCAAGACCCGGTAAGTTTTTTCTACCTGTGGTGTCTGATGACCAGTTGCCAAACTCACTTGTTTCTTCCTTGTAAGCGAGCCGCTACCCTATTTTATTCGTCCTTTTATTGACAACAATGACGTGTATATTGGAAGGCAATCCAATGGTATGTCTCGCCACGACTATTAGAGGGCTTCTTGAAGTCGCAATCTTTTAGACTTTGACTGGTTGTATTCAGCCTGTACACTGCTGCTACTTCGGGTATTCCAAGTTGTCATCGACTGCGGATGCCGTTTCAAAAGACAGCCTAGGGAGGATGCGTCATTTTTGGGTATTTCGAGTCTGAAGTCTGAATGAATCAAAATAGCGTATGCTTAGTTTGATCAACACCCAGTAGTGACCGGTTAAAATTCACTAGGCATTTGTCGCAAGCCAAACACTCGTTCGGTTAGTTTATCCATATGCATTGCTCGTTACACGTGGTGATTAAATATTGAAAAACCCAGTTAATGGCATCTGAATCTACTTGGTACTTTACCGTTCTCATTTAGCAGTAAAACTCTTGTACACCTTCTAGGATAGGTTTCCCGTGCCTCCACCTGTGCTTGGCTGGAGACGTTGCAATAAATAGTGGCTAATCGATGCCAGTGGCGTTGGTGCTTTCAGTTTCTTTCCAGATTGTCTGATTGAGCGGTTGAAGGTGTAGGTACCTCGGAGTGTTTGACATAGGCCAGCACTAGTCCTCTCCATCGCCCATCAGTGTCAACACTGATGCTGGTGCTGACGCTGATTTAAATAACCGAAGTGGGATACTGATACGCTTTTTCACTAGCCAGCCTGATCGGGTCACTACTTAAATTTTAAGAGCTACTGTCCCGTAGGTGATAAGTACGCGTGCTGTTTACCAGAGTGCGACGAACTTCATCGGGATATATCCACTTGTTGTTAAAAGACCAGTCTGAGCGGAATTCATAATTAAGTGAAAACTGAATTTTCATCGTCCCAAAAAGGAAAATGCCATTAATAAGCGATCAGAGTGATAGACGTTTCCAACACCGCGTAAACCGATTTACTATGAATACTTTTAATGCGTCTTCGGCTTCAATTCTGCGCATATCCGGACGTCTTTTATCAAAATCTAACTTGGATATCCTCTTGCTGACAATACATCCGCGTGTATTTAGCTTTTCCAACGAAACTGAGGTGGCGAGTCCGTAGGACGAACGGAGCTAAGGCTCTTTCAAAGGTTTTTTAACACGTTCCCAAACGCCCTAAACAACAGTTCCAAAAAGCTCGGTCGGGCGCCACCCGTTGGACCACAGTCTGCGTCCAACATGGCGATGTTTTCACCATCGTAAAGCGACAAAATGATAACATGTCGCAGTTTAGTTGATCTACATCCATTACACGAATTCAGCCAAACCTATTTCAATAATTCGACTATATGGTTACATTCGTCCTACCCTAGTAAGACTGACTATTCCAAGGGTATATTCCCCTTTACCGTGTCTTCTCCGTTACTATTGTCATTTGTCCTTCCCCGTGCCGTCATTAATCTGACTGGTGTTGTATGTTTGGTTAGAAGTGCATAAAGCATCCGAATCAACCTTATCCCAGCGAGAGGTTGCTTCTTGTTTTTTGAAATGAAAATGTAACCCTTGATCTGTGGATTTCGTAAGTTTCCTCTCACACACCTGGTCATGGTTTGTAATATAATGACGGTGCATGAAGTTTTTCGGCAATAATGACCCTTAATTCTTGGTTCTGTGACTCCCTACTCAACGTCTGAAGGGCATCACACAAAGTATCTGGTACTTACCTAACACACTGATGCTCACAGATTTACTAGCTCTCTTTGCTCTCTGTTTGTCTCAAATCCAACATCCTACTTTTGTACCACCTCTGTCCTGTCACCCAGTTCATCAAACCCCAAGCCTCAATCCAAGTTGAATCTTTCGATTCGGTCGATGGCCGCGTGGATAACATACTCGATATCCCATTTTATTGGTTCCCTATGTCGCGCCCAATCCGTTGCCCGATTCGGCGCAATTATTCCATGGATGTTGAGCACAACCGCTTTGGCTCAATTTTTCATCGCCTCATTTTCCCGCATGATCGATTTTTGTTCAGCCCGTCTCTGCCCGCACCACAATTGTCAATATTGGTGGAAAACTGCTCTAGAAATGTTGGTAAGCTGTGTCCGCTGTACTTTGAGAGGACCTTTCTTTTATTATTATCCTGCTGTTTGAGAGGTATCCAATAGCATCGCATAGTTTTTATGGTGACAACCGACTCAATAACGATCGTGAATACCGTAGTTGAAAGACTAATTGACCGAAATTTGCGCTCTTGAATCGCCTAACAATCTATCCCTGATGAGCAGATCAAGATCGTACAATCTGATATTCACCGAGTGTGATGTTCGTGGTTGAACTGGTCGAGTATTTTTTTAGTATAGTACAGTGTTAAGATATGTTTTTTGGACGGATTTAACGCTCTGGAGTAAAAGAGTGTTTAAATGACGTTTTATGTGCATGTTTATAACGTTGATCACGGCAGCATTCCTTTTTTGATAGGGAGCGCTTTGTCCTCTGTCGAACTTCGCCATTACTATCTGATGCGAAATTGTTTGTGTAGCATCGTGTGATGCTGAATAGAGCATTGGTTTTCTGCCAATAGGTCACTTTATTCCTCTGCCTTCGGAATGTAAATGAAAGATGCTTTGCCCTGTTGCCAGATAATCTGCTAGTGATACTGACGACGTAAGCAATAAGATCGACAACATGCCTGACATTTGTTCATCGCGTTAGCCACTCCCGGGCATTATGTGTGATGGTCTCACTGTGCTACTGTCAGTCACTGAATTATGCGCCACCTCAACTAACATCGATCGATGTTAGATTCGTATTCGCACCACCACACGGTGACATTGGAAGTGAGGCGATGACTTTTCCAGCCACACTGGAAATCATTAGGGCTAAGCGTACACAGTTAATTTGCCTACGACACATCTCTGACTCTAAACGTAGGACCAGGCTGATTATTTGAGTGGATGTTTCGACGCTATCCTTGTGGATTTATTATTTTGGCGTCAAGTAATTCTCTAGATGGATATTAAAGTACAAAATGTTTTCTGTTTCAGTTGGACGCTTCCTTATTAAACTACACCACGATTTCTTTGTAATGCACTACTCATAAGGTTGCTGAAAATCCGTCGAATGTGCTGCACCAGGCCTCTAATTTTGTGCAATTCGGTTTCAAGTAGAACGTAAGGTTGACGGAAACCGGGGGACTGCGCCTACCTGATGAGCCCCAAAAAGGGCGAAACCGGTCGTGGGCTGTCGACGTATTTTCAGCAACCTTATGAGTAGTACATCACAAGGATATACATGTATCGCGATATCTCGAATATCGTAGCGACTGAAACATGATGCGGCCTGGTGCAGCACATTCAGTTGCCTGAGAACATCACAAACGAGAGATTCAGCTGGGTTCCAGGTGAGTATCTCGAAAAAAAAACAAATTGGTTTGCAAATGTGTGTACATTCGCTACGCCATGAGTTGTTCACAAATGCTTCAGAGAACCATTCGGAAATGGTTGTACTAGCCGAGAAAGGCCTTTTGCTTTTTTCTCCATCTCACAGCACTGTTGTTTTTCCCAGGGGTATTTGAAACTGTTTGTCCACTGGAGGAAACTTCCAGTTTTGTGGTCTAGCATCGTCATCCACCCTAAAGGAGCGCGTGGCTTCTAACATTTGCTTTTTGTTGAGACAAGCTACCGGAGGACCCTCTGTCTTGTGTAACTTATGTACACAATATTAGTGAAATCTTCCTTCCTGATAACGAGCTTTTGAGGTGTAGGCCCGTTGCACATGCGTATCGAACAAGTGTGCACGTTAATTGCTTTTGTGACTGTATTTCTCCTGCATCATCACTGCACTTGATGGCCAATCGCTAGATAAACCTGTTTGTCTGTCTACAAAGGTTTCTTCCGGGTTCAGCGTCATACGGATTTTATTGACTGTCGTGGTTTCATCGGCTTTATTCTACGCTGCTCACCGACAAATCGATCGTGTTTCTTGCGTTTCACCAGTCTAACCAGCACAGTGAGCCGGCGTCTAGGTCATACGCAGACTTCCCGAGGTTGGTCGCAACTATAGCGTGATTCAGACGACATTCACTGTTGCTAGGCCAGGTGCTGACAGGTCATCCCACAGTGGGTTAGGCTGTCTTGTTTATACACTCGATGGCGTATGCCCCACACCACGTCCCAAAAGGAGGCATTTGACACCGAGAGATCCGTGGTTGCCTGGCTTTCATGTAATACAAAAACGAAGCTGAGGTCGAGTATTTACTGTCATTCTTGCCCTATCCGATAGCAAAGATTCGTAATTTCAGTGCACCAGCGTTCTTGTGTCACCGTGGTATCAGCAGGCCTAGCAACTTACGTCCTTTAGGGCTGACAGCAGATCGACTCAGCTTGGTTGGAGTGCAGTTTGGCAGCCAAGCTCATGTGGTTTGCTTCTGTAATAAACCATCGAATAGCCGCTGATGTCTGAGAGGGTGAGATAATGAAGCAAGACCAGATGACACAATTGACTTCCTTGATTGGTATACCATTAGCTAGCGTACAAAATAGCAGTCAACTTAGCAAGTCGCTTCGTTTGGTATTGGTACATTTGCCGCCAGGTTGCTCTGTTCATTGAACGGGTTAAAGCTTGGAGTGTTCGTTTGTTAAATAATACTTCGGCACACTCAAATATAAATACAAGTTGACCTAAGTTTTGCAACCCTATTCACTTTGAAACACATTATTTCAATTTAGGATGTAAAAATCAGATCAGATATGTTCTTCTCAACGGTACAAAAGTTCGGTAGACCGAACTTTTCCGCATGGCCACTTAGGCTAATCGCTTTCCGCAGTAAGCCCATGGAAGCTCACCTATAAAGTGGGCTGGATTCTTAAATCGAGCGCTACTTAGATGGATAACACTGACTAGGAATGTGTAGCTTTTTCAACTGAGGGCTACTTAATTAACTGGAGTTTTAGTGTACATTGGTGGGGACTTTTTACTTTGTCATGCAAATGGAGATGCCACTTATTCTTTAGTGATATCGAACAAGTAAGTTTTGTGAAATACACTCATTTGCAAACTAATTTGGTTTTTCGAGAGGCTCACCTGGAACCCAGCTGAATCTCTCTCGGCGAATTTTCAGCAACCTTATGAGTAGTGCGTTACGAATATGCAAGTAAGTTTTGTCTCTAAGTGGGTTTTAACCAGCTTCATTACATGCTACTTGGGTCGTCAATCTTGTCTCAACAATCTTGAATGGTCACCACATCCTCTCGTCTCATTCCGCAATTGTTTTAGAGACGGAATCTGCTGGCCTTGTCACGTGGCATGTCCCATGGAGCAACCACTTCTACAGTTCATTCATCAGGTAGGTAGCTTTTTTCACCACAATATTCTTGTCGCTGTGCCCTGAGAAGCTGAGGTTTCCCCCACTTTCATATACCCTCTCCGTTGTCCTACTGACTTGCCGCTGTGCACAGCTAACAACACAGGATGATGAATTTTAATATGTTTTTGTCCTTACCACGGTGAATTTTGGCATCCGGTACAAGGAGATCCAATGAACTGGTCGATTGGTTCAACTGTATCACCCTTTCGATGCCTAGCTGCCATGCCACCAGAAGGAAGCACGAGGGCTGGGATACTGCCAGGTTGCCCAAGCCTAGACAAGGGAAGTCGAGAGGCAGAGGTCAGGTCCGAACCACGGACCTTCCGGTCAGACTGGGATTCATTAGATGGCAAGATTCGCTATCCTGATACTCTGAATCAATGTTTGCACTTCCGAGCTCAATAAAAAACGGTCGCCTAACTCATTTAGGCGCAGACTTATATGAATTCAGGTGGTCCCACAAAAACGGCCTGGTAATTGTCAGATGTTTCCCAATCCGTCTGATGGGCCCTAATCAGTGCGAAACGCAAAGGAGAGTGCTTTTGTGCAACCGACGATTTCTATTTTGTTAAAAAATATCAAACCTGTGGGCTGATAACTATCAGGTCACTATTAAGGATCATTACAAGTTTCGTTTCAGAAGAACTTGATAAACAATCGTTGTGCAACCTTTCTATTTTGTTAAAAAATATCAAACCTGTGGGCTGATAACTATCAGGTCACTATTAAGGATCATTACAAGTTTCGTTTCGTTTCAACTTGATAAACAATCGGTAGTTTTTATTTGGGCAACGTTCCGCTTTTGACACAAAAGCTTCATCAGGCCAAGTGAGCAGGTCACCAAATTGGCCAGGTTATAAGGTAGACGGGGAACCAATCAGTAAGTCAACCCTCTTCGGATTTTCACACTAGATCCGTGTTGAGTGTCAATTAATGGCCCTTATCGGTTACTGAAGTTGTCAAAATCTTGCTTTGGTGGACTGGGGGGGGGGCTCAAATTAATTCTGATCGGGTTTGGTTCATTAATCTTCCATTTCAGGGTTCTTCAGTTGATGATTCACTTCGGTTGCCACTGGCTGATTTTTTCTGGTCTTTGTGGGGGCGTGAGTGATCCGACAGTTTGGTTTGAGGGGGTTGAGGTCAAGTGGACTTCAGGTGATGACTACTCTTTCTTCTGATGACCGCACACCAACACATGTCAGCTCGGCTGATCCAGAACGGTCATTCACACGCTTGCCAGTTCCACACCTTCTATTCTATTAACACTGAGGTGCTTGGCGATTTCTACTGCCCGGCAAACAGAACCAGGGACTGTGTCTACAAAATTAAGTGTAATGACTGCACCAAGGTTTACATAGGGCAGACGGCCAGGGAACTACACATCAAAGTCGGAGAGCATAGGAGAAAAATAAACAGGCCACCGAGAAACGCAGATGAATATCAAGCGTTACTGAAGGACTCGGTGATTGCGGAACACGCACTCGACATGGGACACAAAATAGATTTAGAAAATGTTGAGGTTTTGAGGCGAGGACTACGGTCCACGCCACACAGACTGATCGCCGAGGCAGTGGAAATCGCCAAGCACCTCAGTGTTAATAGAATAGAAGGTGTGGAACTGGCAAGCGTGTGAATGACCGTTCTGGATCAGCCGAGCTGACATGTGTTGGTGTGCGGTCATCAGAAGAAAGAGTAGTCATCACCTGAAGTCCACTTGACCTCAACCCCCTCAAACCAAACTGTCGGATCACTCACGCCCCCACAAAGACCAGAAAAAATCAGCCAGTGGCAACCGAAGTGAATCATCAACTGAAGAACCCTGAAATGGAAGATTAATGAACCAAACCCGATCAGAATTAATTTAAGCGCCCCCCCCCCAATCCACCAAAGCAAGATTTTGACAACTTCAGTAACCGATAAGGGCCATTAATTGACACTCAACACGGATCTAGTGTGAAAATCCGAAGAGGGTTGACTTACTGATTGGTTCCCCGTCTACCTTATAACCTGGCCAATTTGGTGACCTGCTCACTTGGCCTGATGAAGCTTTTGTGTCAAAAGCGGAACGTTGCCCAAATAAAAACTACCGATTGTTTATCAAGTTCTTCTGAAACGATGACTTCTCAATCGGTTCCAAACCTTTTCCAATTGATCATGACAAGTTATTAGCAATCAGCCTTTGAATGTCCCTTCCTTCGTGTTTGCGTTGATGTCCTGACTCAACAGATCCCATGCGCAGTATGGTTAGTTTCTTTTCATGCCACACCGCATTCCTTTCTAACTTTCGGATCGCACGTTGCCAGTCTTAGTGGTTCATATGAAAGTAATTTTTTGTAACCAGCACTGAACCAAATTTTATGCAGTAACGATAGGTTCCTTCCACTCCCCGAATTCAAAATTATATTGTGCCTTGATTTCATACCCTTACAGTCCTGTCAAGACGAATATCATTGATCTTGAAGTTCCAAGCCCTCAACCTGAGAAGCTTTTGGAGAACCAAAGTGCCTTTGTTGACCTTTATCTCAACCCTTACTGTACGGAAACGATCTCTGTGCATTACTCAATCTTCCAGTGGCTCGCAAAAGTAAGTTGTACTAATCTCCAGTGCATCATATGTTGGTGTTCAGTCTAAATGAGCTACTTTCAGCTGGATCTTTTCTTTAAACTTATTGGGCGCCGGCCACATCAAAAATCCTTTATGTTGAGCTGGTAGTTACTACCCTTGATAATATTGTTCCTATTGTTCTGGTTACCACGTTCACTTGGAACTAAGTGCGCGTCACTTGAACCATTCGACAAAACTGACGGGTTGCCAATCCGCTTAACTGCATAGGATTCGGCGAGTGGACATCTGGTGAGCCCAGCAGTAATCCATGATAAACTCATTTATCTGCTCACTCGCGAATGACTTTATTCAGTTTCCGCGTGCACTACCCACTCTCCCTGATTGTTCCTAAATGCTCGCATCCAGCATGCTCTTGTGTTTTCCACTTTGTCTCTCCTCTGTAACCCTCTATTTGTAGCCCCTGCCGTAATGTACTACTACCACGTGACGATGGTGATTCGACTGGTCTCCAATGGAAGATGAGAATTCTTTGTACATTTCTACTTAATTATTTTCCTATGATCGCAGTCCCAATTATCCTTTCCATCAGGGACCTCCTCTTCTAGATGGAACAGTATCTCGGTCTGTCGAACTTCGCCACTAACTTGCTAAGCGGAATTGCATCACTACTCACCAAAAAGTGGCCGTCCCTACATGTGAAGGACAATTTTAAGAGTCAGAAAATGCTAGTACTGATTGGCATGACGATGGATTCCCACTAGGCTATGGCAACCTAGCAGCATCCCAGCCCTTTTGCTTCCTTCGGGTAGCATGGCAACCAGGCACCGAAATGGCGTTACAGCCGAACGATTTATTTGTTTTTATAGGCTATGGCGAGGCAGGACGTTTGAACTACTTCTGCTTCCTGCTCCCCGCATTTCCGTTACTGACAGGTGAGCGTGATGGCTGGACTTACCTTCCAATGAAGTGGTCCTGTAGCTCATAGATATTCCAGTAAACCGACGGTGGACTCAGCGGTAGATAGTGTGGTTGATCTTTTCAACGTGAAGTACCCTTCAAAGTAGTAGTGAAATAGAACGTTCATTGACAGATTAGTTGTTTGGCTGTTAGTCCACCGACATTTCCCCAATTCTTCAGAAGTACTACGTTCCTGTTCATCAAGGATAGCATGTAAAACCTTGAATTCATTCGAAGAGGGCCCACGGATGCTCTTCAACTAAGGTAAATCTTAAAATGACCAGTCAGAGGGTCACACTATCGTTATTTCCATAAGTTTGGTTTGTAAATCACTTGTGTCTCCTATCTTTGGTGGTAACACAACTGTCAATCAATATGCCAACGTTTTTATATCTTTGTGTGGCGGAGAAATAGAACGATAGATGAAATAGCTGAGAAGAAGACGTGACTGGTTTCAAGGAGGCGATCCACTTTACCTTCTTAATTGCTGAAACTTTGGGGGAAAACGAGGGCTTCGATCTCAAGTGTCATCTCATCTTAACTGGCCTTTTTGGGATAAGTATATTTCAAACGGCCTCAATTGTAGGGAGAATACTTTCTAGTGCAATTGAAAAACCGATTTTTTAGTGGATATTCCCTAGGCTTCTCCGTATTCAGCACACTGGTTTCGATGGGCTTTCAATGTGACGATATTCAATAAGGGTTCCTTGGTTTTGATACAGAAACAGTAGGGGAGAGTTTTCCGACACCCGTAAACAACCCACAATCAGGTTTGGTTTACCTGACAGTAACCCCAGCGCCAACGTGTAATAGGCCTATGCCGGAAGGAGTACCACAATTGGACTGTTTGATTTAATTAGAACCCTGAACTACATGCTAGCTACTAATGAGTTTTTTTCAGCAAGTAGTGTCCTTTGGGGTCGTTTGTTTGATTGCTTGCTGGGGAGACTGTTAAGAAGCCCTACTCATGATACTTTTTAGAAATGACTTTTCCCTATTCAGGTTGACCTTCAAATGACGCTTCACCATTCTACGATAACCTCTCACATCATGACAACGAACAGCCTCCTTGGCCTTTACTGAATCGAATCCATCTAGTTTTCAAGGGATCCGAATGATATAGACCAAGCGATGCGAATCGTGTGAACGTGTGCGATCAACCCACAAGCGCGACACAAAAGTCTGGAAAAGAATGTTCTTTCCACTCACTAGAGTTATCGGCCAAACTCACATTCAGCTAACTGGTGTTCTCCAGGCAAGACCCCTTTCAATATGCGCATTGTATCTTATCGGTCAAGGCTTGAAGCTGACGTAGCGATCACCTCACATCCCAACAAGCGTCATGGAATCGTAGAATCTCTATGCTCCTCATGGGTAAAAAAACAGAATCATAGCCTACCTGTTCAATCAATCGATTTAGTGAAGGTCATGCGAGCAAATACTCGTCTCGTTTTCACACTAATTTGCTTCTTGCACGAGACCACTGGATCCAGCTGAGTCTCTGGTCTATGAAGTTCTTCAGCTGAGCGTGCTGCACATGTTTCAGTACATGGCAGTACATTATCCAAATACAACAAACTACTCATAAGGTTGACGAAAACCGGCTTCGCTCTTTTTGGGGATCATCTGGTGGGCAGTCCCCGAGGTTCCGTCAAGATTATGTTCTACTCGAACCCAAATTATACAAAATTCACTAAATGCAGTTTCATTTGCATAGCAATTCTGTTTTCACGGGAGGCCCAACTAAATCCAGCTGAATCTCTCGTTGTATTCTTCTATGTAGCCTCTGGGATCGATTCATACAGTTTACCCTAACTTCCCAAAAAAACTGGAATGCGAAGCACGTCTCTCAAGACGAAAAGTACTTCCCAGATAGTAAATGATCTGCGTGTCGAAAAGAAGTTATTTTCAGAATGATACGCACTGCTAACTTTCAGAGGGATTTAGCGGATGCTCGGAGAAAAGCATCATGGCGTCGGACTGAGATATGGTTGTCATGGTATCCAGTACTTCCTTTGTTGTCATCCGGAACAAGTTAATCGCACCGAGTTTCCAGTTGAGCTTTCTTTTTGTCAGTGAAGCCACTCTTTACCGAGAAGCACTGTGCAACTGTTTCATCCCTATTACGGATCATCAGGGGTACGCACTTCATGAAACTCCAGGGAGTTTTGAACCCGAAACTTAACCGTTCGGCCACGAGCGACAGCAGCAGTGTAGTTAAATAGCACTTAGAATATGGTGCCAATCATCCTTCGGTTTCACCCATTTGTTGAATTTCATTCTTCCTCTGGGCTACTTGTGGATTGTTGATTGCGTGAGGAGATTTGCTTGCCTGAAGTCATTCCATGCTGAAGGGTCGAGAAGCACCGTACGGCTTTTTCAGTGTACTGTTAAAACTACTACTGGAAGTTCGAAACAAAGATATACATGTACCGCGATATTTCAGATATCGTAGCGACTGAAACATGAGGTTGCCTGGTGCAGCACATTCAGTTGTCTGAGAACATCATAAACGAGAGATTCAGCTGGGTTCCAGGTGAGTCTCTCGAAAGAACCAAATTAGTTTGCAAATGAGTGTATATTCGCTAACCTTTGGTATGGTTGCATTTTGTCTTCAGAACGATTCTCCGTCTGTAGTTGTTTATGCTTGTCTGAAAATACAACGGCATATCTCAGTGTGAATAGAAACGTGATCGTTTTGTGCTGACTTGCAGGCATATCTGTCACCAAGTGACCCGATCGCGACTGAGTTTGTTTTACATATCTGCTTCACAGTGCTTCAAGATTGGTTCTCTTCCGTAGTAGTGTTTCTAAAAATCCGGCTTGTAGTACACGGTTGTTGTGTATACTACTCTATGCCACTCTCTCTCTCTCTCTTAGTTGGGTTACCCAGTCCTCGTTTGATGAAAGCTTTCAGGTTGTATGGTGCGTTATATTCGGTGGCCACACTAACTCACTCAGTAGACTTTAGTATCAATTGATTGATAGTTTCAACACAATTCAACAAAGTGAGTAAAAGTACTTCGATGAGTCAAATTTCGAGCAAAAGGGGTGAGTCAGGCGCCTCAATTCCACGAAGAAGGCTCCAACTTTAACTACGGTGGCTGGGGCTACTGTAAATTAATACACGGTTTATATCTAAATAACTGACTGAGTAGCTGAATTCGGAGATATGATTTTACTAGACTTAGTCTTAGACTGAGTCCAGGTTGACTTATCTTCTAAGTTCCACCTGATATGCACCATAATTTCATTCGTTTATTTCAGCTTGTTCGCCTTCACTGGCCCCACCTGTTTGGAATAATTAACGCGCATCTTCTCATTGAACTCACCATCGCCCTGTTGGCCTGGCCCCCTGTCATGCAGAATCTCCCTACTCTCTTAGTTGCTGCGAGGTGCCCTAGCTCAAGTGCGTCCTATTTTATGTTTGAATTTATAGGTTGGCAAATATACGTAAAATGAAGTTATTGTTACTTTTTTTGCGAAGTGTACACTTCAAACGCTCCATTGAGATAACGGGACGTTGTGAAAGGACAGAACAGATGAATTACCTGGCACCCATTGCTTATCGTGCTGGGACATTTGGGGACTTCTGGTAAAATATTTGAGCACGCTCATCCGGCATTTCAATTCCTACGTTCGTTACGTAGACGACGGATATCGGTTGGATAACTTAAGCACAGTTTCCCCTGATACGAAGTTTCCCCTTGAAACCGGCCATAACAGCCAGCTAGTTTTCCTTATCGTTTCTGTTCTAAAGAAGTCCGGTGAATTAATTTTCAATGATAATATCACAAAGAGGAACGAAATATGTTCTTCCGAATGTGTCCAAGACGAAATACAACCGTAGGTTACGAATTTTGCACGGTGGATACCCTGTATGACATATTCAAAACTATGTGATTTACAAGACAGCCGAGAAAAAGTGGGCCCATAGTCGGTTGCAGAATCAGTCCCTGAGAGCCAAAGTCGTGGTGTTGACATGACGTACATTGCTGCATGTTTGAGTTTCGGCTTCAGCTCTGCAACCAGGGCCAATCTGAAAGTCAAACTACCGAATCCTACCACCGGATTCTCTGTGCTCGTGTCCGACATCGTGTTTTGTCTTTCGACGAGGCCTCTGTACGATGGAATGCATGAACATCGTCCGGTTTCTTTGACGGTTGTTAGAAGTCATAGTCAAGTGCAGTCGCGTCACATTCCCCCGAGACTGTTCATGTCACAAATGAGAAACGTGCCTTCCAACTTCTATACTTGTTGCCTTTGAACCAATCATGGGGAGTACGATTCTGGCTGCAATCGATAGCAGTGGCCACTTAGTTCCACTGGGTAATCCAGAGCCGTGTCAAGTTTATGACCTTTGAACCTGTGTGGGCCTGTAGTCTTAGCGTGACCAGAACGTCTTCCATTACATTCCGTGATCCATACATGTTCACCCTTTCACATTTTTTCCTTTACTTTGTCCAGTCGTGCACGTGATTCATGTCTAGCTGCCTGGAGATTTGTATTGTCCTAGCTAAGATGATCAAGCTTCATTCGCAACCCTCGTTCTTTTCATGACACCCACGGATATCAATCGTTTAAGTAAAAATAGCTCATTCGTTCTCGAAACACAGTCATGCTTCCAGAAGTGCACTTGTTAGACAACTGGACAGTCTGGGGAATTTTTATTTTAAGCAGGAACTGTACTCACCGAAAAGCATGGCTACTTTTCGGGTCTTCCAAATGAACTACTTAGATGTTTTCTGATCAATGTGAGATCAAACTCATTTTTACTGGATAAGTCATGTTGGAGATTAAAAAACGAACGAGGTAGTCGGTATTAGAATCGCCCATAATTTTGCTGATTTTGGTTGAGAAGATGAGAGGTTGAAACAGTTTCCAGTCAAGTTCTAATCTTTCCAGGATGGTGACATTGCGAATGGATGATACGCTTGACATAATCACAGCTTAGCTAAGATAAACAAGTCGTGGCATTTAGCCGATACGCCCGGTTATGTACTCTTCCTGCGTTACGCGCTCTGAGATGAGCCCTTTTCCTGTGTACAACCGAGAAATTGGCCAAAAGGTTTTGCCAGTTAGTTACTCATTAAATTACACAAGCAAAAGCGTGTGTAACCCCGCGGTTCACAGACCCGATCGTTCTCAATGTCTTCGCGGAGAACATCGGTGAGCTCTGACACAGCAGGATTGCTACATCATGGTTTGAGTAATCACGTGGAATGGCTCGGCCTAAACAAACATTCCAGACATGTCAATCTTGGTGACGGTGCCAACTCTTCTCATTTTGGCACTGATTTACCGGTAGCCACTACACCCACTAGTCACTATCCTGGCATGCCTAACCTAAGAATCAATTTCACGTACATATGATTGCATAAATCGAGTGGGGTTGTGTTCATCTGTATGTGCTTAACACATTTATCTAGGTAATCTTTTCAGTTCTTTTGCTCTTTTTGTATGTTTCCCAGTATCCGCAATATCGCTGACAACATTCCTCGATTTCCACGATTTGTTCCATTCTTCAACATTCCTTATGACTTTAGGAAGTCCTCATAATACACCTTAAGCTCTCTCATTTTCTACATCGTTTAAAGGTTCTGGGGATGCCAGCAAGATGGTCCAAAACGACAAACCTTCAAGCCTGACTTCTAAGGAGACTTGGTACCAACAGTACTCGTTCTTTATCCACATTGTTGCCGCATTGCTTCATCTGATGTCGTTTCATTTACTCAATTTTCCGTAAGTTTCCTGTACATGCACAATAATGCTTTGCTAAGACTTGGTTTATCAGACTTCTTCTTTCGTTTAGTTGTTCAGTCGGCTGGTCCAGTCAGTCCACGTTGTGCTCAACATACAGAAGCTACACTTATTCAGGCATGAATGTGCGTGAATCGAATTAATCACCCCCGTTCATTTCTAAGCTGAATCTAGCCGCTGACCGTCCGAATTCGGTCCAAATTCTCCCGAGTAACCATTGAAATATTTCACGGTGTACAGCCGAAGGTCAACACAGACCAGGAGCATCCATCCAGCAAGGTTCTTTCGTTTTCCTCCACAACGCGGGCCAATACACAGGGTGATGCTGTGGGCTACACTAGTAGGAATTCAATTGCAGGGACGTCCTCTGACTGTTTGTATGTCACAATTCAGAGTCAACGGCTCAGGGTACATTCATTAAACTCTCTCATTCGGTTTGGGCAATCGGGAAGCATCATTCGCACTAACAACTCTTCATTCACTGCTCCCCTCCTCACATGCCCCTCAACTATGTCCTGACTCTTTTTGCTGTCGCTTACCTAACCGTCGCCCTGTATCTGAGCGTCGACCCAGAGAACTAAGCGAAATCGAACCCTCATTAAATCCAGAAGGATTTATTTAATACTCTGGCTTCCAAAGTCCGTCTTCTGTTAGGCAAACGTTTCGTCACCAGACGAGCAGACACCATTAGTGCGCAGTTGGGTGCGCACTGAGGATGTCTCCTGGTGTAGTGACGGAACGTTTGCAAGTCAGTTGCCAGACTCGGTGGGGGCTCTGCGAAGCGAACGGTCCTCTTCCACATTCCTTGCAGAGTGTGACCAGTTGACCTATCGAGGGACAGTGATTTTTTCGCACAACGTCTGCCGTACTTCAGCATTACTGATCTGGTTTTCACACTAGACTCCCACAATGTATCTAAAGCACTTATAGTCAAGCAGAGAGCCTTCGAACTTCTTCCATTCGCAGTGGCCACGCTTCTGATGCATAAACGGATCGAACCGCAGCAGGGTACAATCAGCTCTTAAGAGTTAATCTGATGCTACGCGGGTGCCGCAAACGTCGGAGGTTCGTAGGCAAATATCTGGCCTTCCCGATTCGGGAAACGGTCTCATCTTTTACCAGTCCGCCAGGACTTATGCAGCTGCCTAGCTAAGCAAACTCATCTGCCTATTCGATATCTGTGAGCGGACCGATCGATGTGGCGGGTAAGTCATCCATCTGGGCAGCTGCATAAGTTCTGGTGGAATGGTGAAAAGAAGAAATCACTTCTCCGAATTCGGAAGGCCAGGGTAGCTTTCGCCAAAGTGACATTTGTGGCGCCAACATGACAGCTTGACTCATCGTTGGAGTTTGCATCGCCAATCTGTTCTACTTTATGGACCATACACGCAGCCACTGCTTCTTGAAGATCTTCGAATACTTTCTGTGTTTGATCATCAGGACCTCCGAAGCATTCCGCGGGCATATTGGTAAAATCAGATCAGCAGTGCTGAGGCACGGCAGATGATCTTCCGGAAAGTGCACGCCCCCTCGTTAGATCATCTGGTTGCACCCACAGCTTATGCTGGCTAGATCACTTACTTCGTGTGCCAGAAAACCGTTTCTTTCGGAGAGACCTCTTTGTACAGTCTAGTTTCGGGTCGAAACGACCCAGGGGCACTCACCTCATGACATAGAAACAGTCGACTCAGTCGCGTCGGTCAATGTCGTCTCCCCGAACTGGGGTCACGGGACAAGCTTACTGACCCTGACAGATGTGCCTGTATCATGCAGCCAATGGCGATATTGTATCAAAACTCCTGCTTTCAGTGCGTAGCTCTCTCAGTCCTTGCAATTGGACAAACATAACCATTTAACGTCAACGAATTGATTGAGCCATAGCCTTCAGCACATGGCTGTCATTCCCCTACCTTCTATGAATGGAACTGTAGTGGCTGGAACTGCTGTACTTTGGTGCATGGTTTATAGTGGTGACACTGACTGACTGACTGTCTAAAAAAATACGTGAAATGCAGATGAAAATGATGCCGTTGTGTCACTTATCAGGTGATTTTTTCCCAGCGTCCCGCTGTGAGGATTGTTCGTAATCCACTTGGCCAATGTTGCCACAGCCTTTGCTAACTTGAGGGGTATCCAGCATCATGCACAGTAGTTTATTTACTTATTGATTGGCTTTTTAACGAACTCTGGTACACCCGCAAGTTGGTAATGGTACTCGATTCTCTGTGATGTCCCTTTACTAGTGATCACAGCTGACAACGAGTGTTTCTCTACGTCTTAGTTAATAGCCTGGACAAAAAACATTCTGAGAGGGGGCCGGAATTAGGTGGGTTCATCCAGTTTGGTGTCATGCTTGTGAACAATGACTCGTCTTGATGTGGAGTCTGGCTACAGCGAACGATTTTGATAAGTGCAGATCTCACATTCAGTTACGCAACAAGGGCTACCAATAAAGCAACTGGAAAACAGTGCTAACCAGCTGATAAGTGCCTATATTGGAACAAGTGGGCCATGCTTCGTATTCGAAGATTGTTTGCTACAATGGGCTATGCCTGTTGTTGCGCCAATTAGCAAGACTGGTTAGGGCTTTCGTTATGGGTTGACCATCTTTTTATACTGAGCCTCTGCAACCAGTTTTTCATCAAAGCTTTATCGTGACCCAGTGTACTTGCCTGCTTTTGTTACCGTTGGCACTAGGCCCACTGCTTAGATCAGAGTTCATTATTTCGTTATTGTGCTTCAGTGGTTCTATAAATTTGAATTCAAGTCAGCTATTTCGTTTCACCTTGCGTTTTTTCCCTCGTGACTCCCTCGTTTTACAGCACATCCGACTGGATCCGCATGCAAAAATACGGGCATTTGGGTCTGCGTTATAATGACTTCTTCGCCTACCCTTCGAAGATTTCATCCCTCGACTGGGTGTTAGCACATTGTCCTCTGCTCCTTCTTACCATCCCACTGAGTATCCTGGTCCCTTGGTTCCTCACGCTCTTTTTGGCAGCGCAGTGTCGAAGCGGTCACTGGTTTGCTCGTATACATGTGCGTTTTTTCAATGGTGGAAACCTCATGTAAGTTTCTACTGTTATTTCTTCGTTATCATTCTCCCTTTCGTAAACTAGATATCAGTTAGGGGTTATTATTTACAGGTTGGTTTCGAATGTTCAGTTTTTGGGGGTGCCCATTATCTGCACAATCCTCTCGGCTGCAAAACTCATACCAGTGGAGTAAAACTTTCTACGCCAAAATGTTGCATTTTGTTGCGTATGTGCTCGAGCCAAAAACCGTCCTTATCTACGTTCACATTTTTTCAGTTCACCAAATTTCATTGATCACCGGAGCAACGATGCCTCATCATCCACAGCATGACATCAGTGTTCAACACTGATGCTTCACTGCCGTACAACCATGATTTATTTGAAAGAAAGAGAAGCGTAAGGGTGGACGGGGAAGGGACTTAGTGCTAGCTCACCACAATCATTTCGAGGTGCCTATAACTCGCACCATCGGTAACTGATGGCAATATGGTCGATTTGAGTTTGTGGCCGGCCTGTTGTTTGAGAGCACCAAGTGACCAGACGATTTCGGCTATTTCGGGAGTTCGTACTGCATAAAAACATTCTGCGATCGGCACACAGCTGAAGCATTCGTTCCCCATTGTCCGTACCTACCGAGTCCAGTACATGTCGACCTCCTAATTGAGTCTCAAATGCACTAAGCCTGCCCACTTGCGCATTCATGTCTCCAGCAACCACCACAATGTCCGAAGTTTTAGCTCTCCGCAGCAGGGCGTCGTAAAACCTGTCTTTGACGGCGTCGGAGCCACGGTTGGGGCGTAGGCAGACACGATAAACAGACATCTATCAACTTGCCGCTTGTGAGACTCCTTCACAGACGTCGCCAGACGAACCACACAGAGGCGACTATCAACAGGTATCCAGTCAAGTAAGGGTACTTCCGCCCGGTGACTTAGCACAATACCAACCCCTGCACATCCCACTGCAGCAGCCTCTGGATCATCAGAGGTGCGCAGCCAGAAGCGAGTGGAGAGTGACGGGGCGGTTAACTCAATCACTGTGCTTGCATTTTGAATTCTCGTTTCTGAGACACAGCACACATCAATGCCAAGCGAGTCCAGTGTGAGTGCAAGAGCAGATTGTTGTCCTGCTTCCTTCAGAGTGCGAACATTGAACGCGGCCAGATTGAGTGGGTGTCGAGGCTTGAGGACTGATCTGGAGATTCCTGAAGATGTCGGCACCATGTGACGAGCAGATGCTGCACGCAAAACCGATGCATGACGAACGGAGTCATCAGTCCTAAGTGCTGGGCCTATAAGGAGAGAGTTATTACTGGGGTGGAGAGAGGAGGAAGAAGTACGTGGAAGAGAAAGAAGGAAGGCGTCAGCAATAGCCTATTTTCGCTTATTCGCCCTGCTGTATGCAGCAAGTAAAGCGACCCGGCTGATGGCACCACGCGACGGCCGATGTGGCATGAGTTTATTTGTGTATGTACAGTTCATGGTTGTACGTGGGCTGGGATACTGCCAGGGCGCGCACACCTAGACAGGAGGACGATTAGGGTCCTCAACCAGAGCCTTTGAGTCAAACGCCTAACCTGGAGGGCCAGGAGACTGTGTTCGTCAGACCTCTAACCATTGACCAACCTGGTATGAGATACTCTGTGAGTGTCGCGGGACACTCTCCAGTATAGCTCAATGGATCACTGAGGTGCACAAACCGTCACACCACGGTATGATCCAGTCTCTCCGTGCCTCTGGCTGAAAATTCTTGTGGGATAATTTTCCAGCATCGGTGAGACCCCGGGGTGCCTAAATGGGGCTCAAAAAAGTGGATTCGCACTCCGAACACAATTGTTCGATTGCTTTAGTCCACCAGGGACACGTCACGGCTTTCGAAAATTCAACCTCGTTGTGCGAATACTAAGCGCCGTTTTTGGGTGATGTATTGAGTTGTGCTTATTTAACCACTTTCACTTTCAGATCCCTCAAAGTCACCGTAACCCCTCCTAGGATTGTTCGAGATATTTCGGACGTGACGCCGTTTTTAAGATGTTTCCTCAGCAATTTCACCACCTCTGGGTATATATATATATATATATATAGCCTATATAACGTATATATATAAACGTACTCACACATCTTCCATTAAAATGTGATGCACGACTTACTCCACTTGTCACCTTCAGGTTAGCTGGTAAGTCGCAGATTGCCCAAAGCCAAAAGTCTATTGCCCCAGTGATGCAAACGTTGTCGATGACCGAAGACGTCATGTATTTTGCTGATTGAGTGTTTGTGTACGGTCTGAAATAGATGGACGCAGTCAGTTTCACATATTATTAGTCACAGGTTCGGAATTAGCAAGCCAACTGTGAAGCTGTGCGATTTACAGTCTGTATCAGCCTGTGCGAGGAAAACGAGTGTACCATGGCTTCGATTCAGTCAGCATGTGTTCGCTGTGTAGTAAAGACAGGTCCTGAGATTGAGCTCAGTTTACTTACTTATCCTTGTCTATCATTGCATACGAATAGAAATCGAGTAAACCGACAAATCTGACTATTCTTTTCATGTTTTTTCTAAGTCCTCGTTGCTTATTTAGGTGAATATTAAAGGCTGAGCATATATATGGTCGTTGGTTTGCTCGCTGAGCTGCGCGATTCGCTTGCGAACGCATCAACACCAAAGGAGGTGACATCATCAGTGCCTTGTTAGGGGATGTTGTGGAGCGTAGCGATGGTTGTGCGTTTAGTATTATTGTGTGTGTGTGTGTGTCCTAATATACGTGCTGCTAGCCGGGGCTGGCCTTCGATCACGATTGGTTGTTCGGTCGAGCGGCACCATTGTTTGCTCCGTTATCTTGTGTCATGATTGATCGATGACCACGTAACCTTTGAGACTGGCATCTCCTGTCCTCGTGCTCTGATCGATGCTAGAGTGACTTCTGTCGTCGACCCTTCTGGGTTCCGGCTTGTGACCTTTGTGGATCCGATTCCAAGGAGTTCCTTGTCTCTTGGTTTTTGAATCCGATATTTGGCTCTCCTTGAGTACTCCAGTAGATGGTCCTTTGCACATAGTGGTGCGTAAATTGGGTCCAGTTGACTGCATCAGCTGATCGAATCATAAGTGAAGTACCATGCCTCCAGAAATTCCATTCTGTGTCTCGTGTCTCCTTAAGCAATCAAATTGCCTAGCTCAGTGAACAAACCAACGACTATCCATGCTAACTGAGCTACCAACATTCTCTATAGCAGAGCATATATATATATATATATTGTCAGCTGTTTGGGTGGAATTTCTATGATCTTTATTTCACTCGGGGTTTTATGCCGCCTTATGCTTTATCCATTTGGGAGATCATCCCAGTAATCCCTAGAGCTGTTGTTCCTGTCGTCCTCCCGTTTAGTAGCCGAACAGTTTACCGCTTGGTCATTAGTAGCTGATCGGCAGTGGGATCACCTTCCACCTGGACAAAATATGGCACCTCATCTGTATTTGCACAGCTGTGCGTGCAAGAGGACTTTTTTTCAGATGGGGTCAGTGATGAAGATAAGTGACCAATGATGGTGTGTAGTGATCATAACGTAATACCGTCCTGGTGACATTACAGTTCTGCCTCACCGAATGACAACTCTTGCTGGGTATGATTCTGCACCCGAACCCAAGAACCAGTGACAGATTAGCAATCCCTGGCAAAAATAACCTAACCATACTGAAAACAGCAGCATTACTGAAATGAATCATCACCGTCATCATATCGATAGCATAACATCAGTGTTCAACACTAATGTCTTGCTGCTGTACAACCATAGTGTATTTGAAAGCCCCATTATAAAGAAAAGAAGATGTGGTGAAAGTAAGAATGGTAATGTGTTGAAATATTGGTAGCTCGGGTGAGTTTATTGATTGACGGTCATGTGGCTGTTGATGTGTTCGCTGGGCTGATCTGAAAAAGGCGTGGATCAATTAGCCCGTAGATTACACACTTCGGGTGTCGAGATCAGGTACAATTAAGCTGTTCTGTGGCTGCGGTTTAAAGCACACTAACGTTTCTTGAAATATGATCGCTCGTAAATTGTAGATACCGCTGTGTGAAGTTAGATGGCAATTAGATCGATGGAGATGATGGACTTCTCCGTATAGCCGTTCGCTAAAAGAGTTCTTTCCAACTAATTTTTATTTCATATTGAGTCGACTGCACAAATACGTTTAGCCTGATGAAACAGCCTTTTGACCAGACCTTGCTTGTATGTCACTGAAGAAAATCTACTGAAATGGAAATAATGATCACTCGTAAACATATGCTACCATTCTCCAGATTCTATCAGTTTTTGTTGTCGAATCATAGACATACCTGCATCTTTTGTATGATGGACATAATCGCGATAAGCATACTGAATGTGCAGCACTCATACGGTGAGCAGCGCTTATCGCTTGTCGTGAGCCTCCGTGTCTCCACTCATTTATGAAGATATGTTACCCGGAATTTTTGGTCAGTTTACCTAAAAATAGTGTCTGTCTTCCCCGGGATGAATTTACTGTCTCATCCTCTTACTTAACAGCCAGCACCGGAGGCAGCATCAACTCAGCTATTTTCTTCTAACCACCACTCTTCTGTTTGGTGGACTGGTCTCCGAGGCAGTAGGTATCCTACTCCTCGCCATATTTCTCCGCTTTCGGGTGAGTTGAGGGCTTTCCCGTCTCTGTTGAAAGTTATTGGCTCCTGTTATGCCTTTTGCTACTGGTCAGTATATTGTCTACTTCGTGTTCCTACTACTCTTTCCAAACCCATACACGAATGCGTGGGGCAGTATGTTCGAGCTAGTCACAGATTCAGTAAATTTACACCCAAGTGAGAGATGTTCATTTTTAGTGGCTGGTGGGACTCCAATGAGATCGCCTTACTTCCTAGCCATGGTTATTCAAAATCTTTACTCTCTCCGAATGGCATAATCGGTGGTAGCTGGAACGTGCAGTGACACCTCAACTATATCCTGTAGATTAATCAATATCACGTATTTCATTGTGTAATTAAGTGGTGATATACAGGATATTGTTGTCCTGACATCATTTCTCGAAAACATCCACATTCACATATTTATGTGTATAATCTTGGTTCCGAGCGGTTTAACATGTATCTTTGCTTAAACCTGACTTCGCCATCAGTCGTGCGGATCGGTTTCTCATTGCTACTACGCTATCCTCTCTTACAGACTAATACTTAGAACGCCTTGAATTCACTCATTGTAATAGGGCTTTCACACACGGGAGTCGTGACTGTAACACTTTTCTCATATACCGAGCTAAATCGTCATCATTATCATTGTCAGCTGTAATAGCCGCGTACTTGTCGTACAGTTTTGTTCACCGATGATTTGGGGAGGTGGGATATGTAGCTGCGCATTGGAGGCAGTAGCTGATAAGTTAGTGCGTAAATACAGCACTGTAGGAGGATTGTTAAATGGGGGGTTGGGAAGGGGGCTAAATAACATTTATAGTATGTCAATCGATACTTTATCCTGCTGTATGCCGAAAAGCCGGCACAGCTGTTTTATCCTCACTAAGAATCGATAGTAGTGCGCAAATCACGAATCTGGGAAATTTGACTTGCTTCGCAATCCAGAAATGAAAGGCTCATTGCGTCCATCGTGGTTTGAGTTGTATGGTTAGTCAATGGTTACACAGTTTGCTAAGCTTGAAAATTAAGTAGATCATTTTTGTGCTGCTTTTTGGCCATCAAAACATGATAGTTACCGGTACATAACTTACGGACAACAGTCGACTCTGTTTGTACTGTGTTTGACCTATACTTTTCGTTACAAGCGTTATCACCGGACCGTGGTTTAACAGTAGTCACTAATCCTAAGGGACATGCCAGACGGTCACAATGATTGCTGCTCCTGTGACTATGTCGGTCTTGTTACACGAGCTTCCAACCACATTACTTCACTCATCTGTACATAAACTGGATTAAGCGGTATATCTATCAATATCAGAAATCACCGGTGTCGACTTGTTTGAATCAACTTCCCTGACTGGCCGAACTCACTTCCGATAATGATCCACTTTGAGTGTTCCGTTTTTCAAGCTCTCTGCCTCGTTTCAATTGTACGTGGTCTACGTTGTATAACTGCCTATCCGTTCCGTCTGTTCGTCGTCTCGTTCGGATGCCTGCTCTGTCTATCACGTCTTCAAGCGGTTTATTAGTCCGCGGCGCTGAATTCTGGATAACTACGCAGTCCATATCTCTGGATTCCTGTTTCCGTTCGTATTTCCACGCCCTTATTTGCTCCTTAACCCTCTGGGTTTGTGGACTTATTTCTCAATCATAATCCAGCTAAGCATTTCTTGCATTCAGGAGCGTCAGAGGAGGATGTGTTTCAGATGTCTTAACGTGATCGGTATTCGGGTGTATCATTTGTCGTTGAATACAAAGTTTTGACTGGCCGCAGTGAAGCCTTTACTTTGGTCGTCTTTATTCTAGTCTGTACTAATAACCTCAAAGTTGAGTCGGGAAAGCAGGCGGTTTTGGACAGTCGCCGTGTAGCTCGGTGGTAACCGATCATAGGATTGACGCTTGGACAGATTAGCTCAATCTCCCTCGTAGGTAAGATTAGTCTCATCCAATGCAATCATGCGCCCACACAGTATGTTAATTTCCGCATCTCCCTTTAGAATTTTTTCGTTCCGAATAAGTCTTTTTAGAGGGAATCACCCAACGGATCAAAGGAAAAATGTCTCCTACACTGTCTTTTATTTATTTTGGTTTTCCTTGTGAATAGCCACTACATTTATGAGCTAATCATGTTCCATCCCGCGTTTGCGAATTTTCATGAAGCTCCACCCTCCTTTTTCTCCCTGTGATACTGTACTTCAATTCACTTTAAGGCACAACTCACTTTTAGCCAGCTTCTTTATTCATTCGATACGAAAACTGATCGAGCATTCTCGCCTTCTCCTCCCAGATTCACCTGAAAGTAGTCCATTCAATCATTCAGAACTCTTCGTCACTCGGAAAATCGCGTCCGACGACGGAAAAATATAACGGGTCGTCTCTGTCACACTACTTGGCATTTCCTTATTTGTTTTTCACAACGCTGATCATGCTGAGCCTACTTTTACCCGAAAATTGGGTCTCGGTGTTTTTTCGCTTACAACATTACATGAGGACGTAAGTTTCCTCTTGACCAGTACTTTATTAACCCTTTTGCTCTCTATGGAGTAACGAATGTGACAGCCAACGGTTTTCATCGTCTTTCTATCGATTTTCTCAATAAATTTCGGCAGAAAATTCTGGGACCGGTTGTGTCTTTCGCTATAGCCCCCTACTTCCTGTTAAAGTCAGACCATCGGAAATAAAATCCGGAATTCACGGGAATACGGAAATTTGCCTAGAAGTGGATAAAAGAGTGCAAGAACAGTATAGTACGACCTCAGAGTACCGTTCCATAGGAAGGATTTTCACTGACAACTCCGTCATTTCGCCCCAGATCTCCCAAAAAGTGCTTGTGAACATTTCAATAGTGATATTCTCGTCTTGTGGCGGCCATCCATTCGGTTTTGCGGTCATCTTTGTACAGCAGACGGGCTAAGCGTCGTCAATTCAACTAAGCTTAGAACGACAGGTTAGCTGGTCAGTTCTTAAGGTGACGGAAGATGTCAATCGACGCTTCGGTGTTTAAGTATTCTGTCTTCTTATCCACCTCTTCCTCCTGATCACAGTAATTGAACGTACGAATTACTTTCTTGGACACTGATTAGTATCAACAGTGAGTTCATTATGCCAGTTGACTTCATCTGAAAGCACATCGGATCCAGGAAAGGCGCCATCGGACTACCAGAAAAGAGGCTGAAAAGTTTTAACATGAGCTAGTCCGCCACCAACTTGGGTGAGCAACGTAGCTAGGTTACCACTTATGGTTGGATAAAGTTTCTTGTCGATCACCAGGAGCTCAGTTTCAGTTAGATTACACGGGTTTGAGATTTCTCAACCTGTGGGGTGAGTGAATTAGCGATATCCCTGTTTGTGAGGTCGTTGTTTCCACTTACTGCCATGGTAGGCAGCATGATAGAATATCTAAACAACACAAATATCTAAACAAAAACAACATTATCTAAATAAAACAGCGGTTCACGCCCTTCATTATATGACTTCTGTCTCATCGACTGGAACCGCTCAACTGACCAGCTTTTTTATCAGCCCCACTTGGCAACGCTTTGGATATAGCAGCACAACAAACATGCAAACGTACTAGAAATCCGTTTGGTTGGTTGCTGTAAAATAGGAATGTAGTACTGCCAGTGAGGAACACAGTCCATGTCCGCCAAAATTGCGAGGAGCATTTTTATTACGTGCTTCGATATGAATCGACTGGAGCTTCTACCGATGGAGTAGCACCCTTCGGTCGTCCTGTAATTTTGTGGCGCTCGCACTCCTCTTCTGGTCGATTTCCCGTCAGTTTCTTTGATATGTATTCATGCTGATTTCGGGTTTCATCTTTGCTCCTCGTTTCACCACGTGTTTATCAAATTTCATTCCGTTTTTACCATCAGTAGTCAATCTGTTATGAAAAACATTGTTAGTCCTATAGTTTTATCGCGATTTGCAGATGTGGATTTACTGCTGTCAGTGAGCAGTAAAGCGGTACCTTAATGGTTAAAATTTGACCCAAAACTTGTGTTCCCACTTATCTCTTATAGCTAAATACATACATGCATACCAGTTAATCTTATTTTGCATTTGTTTCACTGACTTTCATTTGCTTCTTTGTTTTGGCGATGTCATATCCTAGTCGTCTTCTTTCGTTCCTGTAGTTGTTTGGATCTCTCGTGCAGTAAAACCCGGTCACAACCTGATTGTCTCTTTCGTTGTTTACAATTCTCTAGTGACAACAACATACACGACTCAGACAAAAACCGGAGTACTCACTGTTATAAACCCTTGTTTACAGAATACACTTAGTTCAAGTGTGCATTGTCACTTATCATTTAATTTGAAAGCCTCGCTATGGAATTGTTGCTAATCTTGACATTTGACAGGCTCACCTGAACATCACGTGTGTCTTTACTCAGTCTATCTTGTTGTCCACACTTACACTTGTCAGTTTGAGCCACATTGGCCAATGCGCTTATGCGGGCTGAAACAAGCTGGCGCGTTCGGCTCGTCCGTGTATCGCAAAGGTCGTATAGCACATTAGCGCCTTAGAAGTCAGTCTGACTCCTTTCTTCGTTCAACATTAAAGTCCACTTTGAGGGAAGTCCTTCCTCCCGTCAGTTCCAACTTTGTTTAAAGCTTCATCGTTACCTGTTGACTTATGTCTCTGTTTCAGTGGACCATTTGCCTTTCACCTCCTGCTTCGGGTACCTTCCATTCCCTCTGACGTCTATCTCCTGTTCATTTTCGTCGCATTAACTTGCCTTACCTGGCTTACTGAACTACGGACGCCAGACGACGATTCCAGTGACATTCAGGCTGTCACCAATCAAAAATCTTACGTATTCCGTTCCATTGTCATTTTACTATGTCTAACTGGATGTTTTATTTATGTGTTCTTACTTCTACACACTGCAATCTTCTACTTCCGAATAATGTTGTTCTGCTCTTCCGGTTTGGTTCTGTTGTTGTCTCTCAGTGTATATCTGACTTCGGAGCTCCAACGATTTCGGCCGTGGTTGGGCGGACTAAGGCTTGCGAAGCCAAAGTCACAATAATGTTTAGTTTCATTATTTGTTAGCTGTCTTATCGCTCTTTTTCTCAGAGGACGCATCTTGTCCATTGGGATTCATCCAGTTCCATAGACAGGCAGTCTATATGTTCCCAATACACTTTGTTACTTGTGTCCATTTTACTAACCACTGGGGAATCAGATAACGGATTCGTATGAGTTCTGTCTCGTCCAACTTTTTGCTACATAAGTGGAAAAACCCTTAATTTGATTAATCCGTTGCCAGACTTACCTAGTATTGGACTGTTATCTGCGATACACGTGGGCTCGGGCAGACTAACGCAACCGTCATTCTTAGGACAAACATGGACGCAAAGTGCATGCAGCAACGTGTGAGAAGTCTCAATCTCAACCCCAATTTGAAGAGTTCGCGTTGCAGCTTATTTCTTTGAAACACGTAACCTGTAGTGCAGTTCATTTTCCGCCCCTATAGTAGGATCCGGAGAAAGGCCAACTCTACAAAACCATGCTTATTTTTTCAGGAATGACCACCGATTTTAACTATCTGGCAAAATGAGGCACACTGTACGCAAAAATTCATACGAATTCTAAGGGGCCGACCCATTGCCTTGTTTCTAAATTCAGTTTGGTTATCGTCATTCCAGCTTTGCTGCACAAAGTGACCGCAATTACTTTTCAATGCCGCCCTGTTGTTCATTGTTGTCTCAATCGGAGCCAACCCATTAGCGCGGTGGATCAAGTTTCCTCGTTCGAGATTCGACCTTCAGTGTGCGTCTTCGATCTTGGACAATTAATTTTTTCTTTGACTTGAGAAAATGATTTGATTCCTATTTAACCGTTTTTCAATGAGCGAAGTCGATTCAGCTGCAACAACACTACAGTGTGCACAATTTCAGAGCTGATACTACTCAAACCGCTCATCTCCACTTTGGGTAACATTTCTCGATCGCGTCCGGGTTTTATGCCGTGAATAGCTGAATTTCGGCACTGTATCCATGACGGTGTAACTGAACTTTTGGTGTCCTAAGCCTTAAGTGGCGAAATTAGCTGTGTATCGTGGAACCCCGACAATAAGATTTCGCTCTACACTCCCAAACTCGCTAATGCTTCGGTTCGAAGTTGAGCGAAACAGCGATTAAACCAGGAGACCTCAATTTCGTCCATGTTCAGGCGTGAAGAGTTGCAGCGCACAAATCGTAAGGTCGAAAAGTATTTCCGGTCGCGTTGTGTAGCTTCTAGTAGGTACCATCAATGTGGTATGTGTCTAACAGATAGTACTGTCACTCTGTAATCTCACTTAACATTGAATACTAGCTAATGGCTCATAGAATAAAGAAGTCCTTGCTGAGCATTCCAATTTTATAGGTGCTCAAACCTGACAATTTGGAGTCTTGAGGTTCACGCCGAGGGACGATGGACTTCCAAGGTGGGTGAGTCCCCCGTTAATAATAACTTAGTTTACGAAGGCGTTTATGTCGCCTTTTAAGCTGGACATAAGTTTAACGGAAACCCGGGAAGTGCGCCTATCTGTTGAGTTCCAAGACGAGTAAAGCTGTCATTCTACTAATCTTATGAGTAGTGTGTTCCGTCAAGTGATTCTTTCCCTTATCGGTTAATGTAGGAGAGAAAGGGTGGTATTGTTCAGTTTCACATCACTCTCGTTTTGAACAGTCGTCCTCTTGTCCTGGCGCAATTATTCATGTGCATCCACACCAAAGGAGGGGGAAGCAATGGACTCCGGTTTCGCTCTTGTTAGAGCTCATCGGCTGTGCATATCCAATGGCCGTGCCGGGGTTTGAACGCCGGACACCTGACATGCTAGGCGAACATGTTACCACTATTCCACCAGCGCACGTTGAGCAATACACCTCCCACAAAACCCCCACATGCATCAACAAAAAGTTGTCCAGCGGGTTTCAAGCGTGTGTGGCGCTACCTGACTGGGAAGTCCTGACAAGCGGGCCAATCAATCGTCACAACCAGGACAGTTACTAGGTCCTCGTATCGATGATGTTTCGGGCATACTAATCACATCGCTCAAGTGCGAGCACGTTCGCCCGTTCAGATGCGTCCAACGTGCGTTGGTGGAATAGTGGTAACACGTTCATCTCGCATGTCAGGTGTCCGGCGTTCAAACCCAGGCACGGCCATTGGATATGCACTGCTGATGAGCTCTAACAAGAGCAAAACTGGAGTCCAGTGCTTCCCCCCTTTGGTGTGGATTCACATGGATAACTGCGCCAGGACAGGATGACGACTGTTCAAAACGAGAGTGATGTGAAACTGAACCATCAAAGCCTCATTGTGAACGGGGAAGGGACTTAGTGCTGGTTTACTACAATCATTCCGATGTGCTCAGACACTCACTCAGGCAATCTGGATAGAAACTGACAACAGTATAGCCACTGACATTGGTTAGAAGCCATATCTTGCAGCGTCTCCAACAAGGCGCAGTGAGGATCACGCGGTCCCCATCCTCGAAGGCGAGTAGCACCGACAGCACCCAAACGTTTCGTGATTTTTTCATACCCCTCTGCCAGGTCAAGTGTTGGCCACCTCTCTGCTTCCGCCACTCTGAGTTGAGCATGGAAAACGGTGGTCTCTAAAGCAAACGATGGTTAGACATACGCAACACGTGCCAACCACCGCAGACTGCTACTGGACACATCCTTCAACGGAATATCGTTCACAATCTTGGTGGTTTGTGTGAGTGGGTTAGCGCTACGACGAATGGACTAGTGGAAAGGCGTGCGTGAGATTTTTGAGTTCAGTCTTCTAACTTGGATCTAAAAAACCTTCGGTAATGACCTCCCACCCAGACTAATAACTACACGAACCACGTGTCACCTCGGATGATCTAAAACCGTTTTCGCACGCTCGCGTCCTATACGCCCTCTATTACGCTGGGGTGGAACCTCGACGATTTTCACTGGTCCTGCCACCAATGGGTGTGGCGTGAACCATAATCCACTACTCAAAACCTTCATATTTTCTACAACTTCCCTGTATCTGATGCGCACCCTGCAATCGTCCGAGTCTTTGGCCACAGCCAGAAATTCATCTGCATTTATTGGTAGTTTGTTCACTCTTCTCTTGAGCTCACTGATTCCGATTTGTAGTTCCCTGGCTATCTGTCTTATTTGGACCTTGATGTAGTCGCTTCATTTAATTGATAGAAAAGTCCTTCTTAGCTGACCCCTAGAAGTGCTTAAGCATAGTAACAATAGGATGCCCTGGTGATCGGTTCTCCACACATAACCCAGTCATTTGACATAACAATGCTTTCCTGTCGAAAATGAGGCATTTCTCAGCGATGGAGCCACCGAATGCTCAACGAACCTTTTTGGGATTGTTCCATAGAAGTCATGGATACGAACCTAACTGTGAGGCGAAACGAATCAGACCAACTCCATACTCAACGGTACTCTTTTTCCGTTCGCACTTCTTTAAAACCATTGTGGCGCTTTCGAAAGGGTTCTCCGATCTGAGGTTGTTTGGGAAGCAAGCTTCATAAGCACATGAGAAGAATTTTAACATACTTCATTTTTTGAGAGGCGTTCCCTGTGAATTCTATGTCTCGTTTTTGAATCTAGGCTTACAGCAAAACCCAACCCACAAAGCAAGAAGGAAACGACCGAATCACAGCATGACGACCACATACAGAACTGCCGAATTGAATGCACCCAACGAACCAACCAGACAGATTGAAACCAGGTGAGATTCACAGAAGACCAATCAAACTACACCCAGATACTGTTTAGAAGCTATATAATCACAGGCAGAAGGGGAGGAATTCACCCACTCAACCCTGCACTGACGATGTCACCTCGACTGGTTACAGATTTTCCATTCTTCTCTTGAGACTCCCGTGTCCCTAAGCATCAAAGTGGCCAAAATTTTAATTTTTTGAAATCGTGTTACTTGAAGTAGTCAGTAGTTCGTCGTTTTCGCTGTTTGGTGGCTGTCGGAGTTGGATAACTCACACATTTCCTCATCTAAAGATCACCTATTTCTGCTCTGATCATTGTCAGTAATACGACGTTGTTAGAGGATAATCTCGGCCAAATAAAGCACAACCCCAAAATGAATCCATCTCTCGAAGTTTATTTGATCTGTTGACCAGTTCTAAAGCAGTAGACCACAGATCTACGGTACTTCCTGTGTGAATACGGGCGGAGCAATCAAGCTAACTTATGGGTGAATCTCGACGGTGGGATGAGGGGGCATCTCCGCCAAAACGTTTTGGCAGGCAGACAAGTTGGTAACAGATATTACACCTTTGATACTAAAAGGTGGCCTAATGAAGAAGACGACGGTATGCCATAAAATGTACCTTATTTTCCTATGCTTGTTTTTTCGTGTGATGGTGGTTAGATCAAGTGACGATTTTTTATCCCAATGACGGATCACAAGAACTGTCTAGTGATCATTCTAAGAAGTCCACCCTTAGGAAAGTCCCCCTGCCCAGTTGAGGCTACTCCCCAAGAGTGTTTGACCCCCCCCCCCTTTTCGTCTTCTTACCTGTGAGATCAGTCTATGCGTCGCCCCGAGTTCGTTGTGCGGTGTCTTTCACACTGCATCCTTTTCGAGAACTACCACTTTGAACAAACATTCATATGCGAATAGTCTTCAAATCCAGCAACTTGAAATACTACTTGTCGTACAGTCGTCTGGTCTGCACAATTACCTAATACGACAACACAGACATCATACAGCTATTGCGAGTTTGTTAGTGGGGTAGCAGCTTCCCATATAACATATCTTCCTGTTAAAATCGCGTCTAAATGTTCGCATGTGAACATCTGGTGTGATATGACGTTAGCCATTGATCTACGTGAGACAAATTGTGGAACCATCTGGATCTGCCAGGTCGCAGTTCGTCTGAAAATGTGGAAGATGTGGGCCGTTTCGTACAGATTGCGGTTCCCTTATAATAAGAGCCGTCGAGGAAAAGTTGATGCATCAAATATGAGAAAGCGATTCTTCATGAATGCAGGAGAGCTAATGAGAAGCAAAGCGGCCACTATATTGAACACTCGCTATCGCCAGTTTGTGCAAAAATCAAACACCGCTATGGCTCATGAGACCTCGTTCAAGGCACGGTAACCGGATACATGACTGATACTTGCACTCCATCTGATAGCAGTCGAGGTATAGACTAAGCAGATAACGTGCAACTTCAAAGTTGGAGTGTGCAGCATATTGTGTTATTTGAGTCTCATTCGCGTTGCCAAATATTGTCGAAGACTGCGTTGCCAAAACCCCGAGAGGCGATATGAACTCCTCAAAAAAGCTGAAGGACGATTGGCAATCGTCTGATTTCATTTTTCTCATCTTTCCACATGTGTTAGCTGATACTTGAAGTGATCTCTCATTCGGATGAATTGTGGACTTCCTCGGGGTTTTTGCACTGAGGACTATGCCGCATTTCCTTATAATGCTGGAGATACATTTTATTCCGTGTAATTTCGTCGAACCAGTCAACTTTGTGTGTCTTACAAGTCTCATGTTGAAACCTCTAATCCCCTCCTGGCCGCGGGTTTCCCTCTTCCTAACTCACATTTTCACGTTAACTTTCGAGCAGCACTCTGAATACGGTTGTTTCTCGTGCATCTAGTTGAATGGATCGTTCCCTTGGTAGCCAACTATGCTATAACGCAATCACATCACTTTCACCCAGACAATTTGTGATGTAATCACTTGCTTGGAGTGCTTCAGCTATAAACCGTCTACCAAGCGCGGTGGTTCTAGTTGCTACAATCTACATTCCCTAGTTCAGTGTAAATCTTTTTATGTGAATAAGCCACATCAAAATTGTTTAATATGAACCATGTGGGTGACCACGCAAGGAATGTTATGGCTTTGGAGAAGGCCTTCCTATTGCGCTTTTTTGGCTGAACTCGCTTACACGTAGCATTCAGTTTATCTACACGTTACACCGCAAAGAAACTATGACCCACCTCTGGAAACTTACCGTAATTGCACTTCCAGTGGGTGAGAGTGGATGATTCTTGGTTAGCGAGTTACAGCTGTCATTGAAAATCAAACTTACCACTCGTAAATTTTGCATCGTTACCAATAATCGCGGGCGCAAAAACACCGGAAAGTGAAATGCCGGGACTGTTCAGATTTGTTTTTTCATAACAGATTTTTAGGGCAACGTTTCCACCTAACTTTCCTTCAAAATATTCATAAAGCATTTCGCTCTGTTTTTAACTTGTTTGTCTGGACCACTTCTTATTGGACGACTTTATTTGTGTTTCAGTGCACTCCATAACTCAGTTTTAAGACGCATAATTTCATGCTTTCGTATACTGGCTGCACTATTTCGCTCCAGATGGTCACAGTCGGGACTACAAGTTTTCCAACCCAACAACTTAGCGGAATCCAACACATGTCAACAAGTGATGCGAGAGACGTCAACCAACACGATTAACTAAAACACCCGATCTTTCTCTCTAGTCGTGGCAACGAGGCATTATTAGGTACTCCGTTGCTGCACTTCAGTTTTGTTAAATGCTCAGAATCCCCAATTTGGCAATCTGAGAAGGCTTCATTCTGAACATGTATTTGACTGGCCTCTTGACCAAAAACAGCTGTGACCTTGTCATCAGAACCTCCAGTAAAACTAACGTTTCGGAAGAAACACGAGGACGATTTCGACCGCACATCCACACAACTGGAGACAGAGGAATTTCTCTCACATACAAATTGGCATTTTTCAGAAAGTTCGCGGCTCTATCCAGAACCGGTAAAATGGTAAACCCATTTCCTAACTGATCCTTTTGGTTAATACATCGTACTTTTATATGATGCTCATCTGAAGTCACATCCACAGTTAGACGAATTTAAGCGTGCATGTGTGGTAAATGGTGTAGGTGAATGGGGGTCAGTGGGTAACAAGAACAAACTAGTTTTTCGAGTAGAATCATCCGTAAGTTTGCTTGAGTGTAAAGTCATGCTAGTTTCTTTTGAACCCGAAGCTGTGGGTCAGG